CCGGCCCGAGCATGCTTCTGGCACGGCCGGTACTAGTTGCTGCGAGTCGCGAGCTGCAAGCCAACGTTAAAAAGGATATGTTTGAACTACGAGGGTGTCAGCAAGAGCCACGCAAATACCTGTTCACACTCGGACCGGACACGCGCGTTTGATCGAAGTGCTGGATTCGCTCTGTTAGACCGCGTTTCGGTAAGCGCTTCTGGACCGATCTTTTACGATTGCAACTCGATACTGACATGACACTCGGCAAAGAAAGGATAGACCGACATCGCGTAGCTCCCACGAACTGCTATAGCTCGACAGTGACGTCGTCGAGTCAGAATAAAAATGGCATACTAATAACAGTGTACATACCGAGTTGCGAAGGTAATCCGTATGGCGTTTATTTGAGCTCTATTCGCGTCTCCAGCTTGATGCTCGCCCTCCCGCGGCGGAAACGGGAAGCGCGCTAGTGAGGGTCCCCCGATTCTCCTGCTCAGCGGGCATGGTGGAACTGCTCGCGATCATGGCTCGCAAAATGTCGTTTCTGAATGCAAACAACACCCTTCACTGTCCCAACGTAGTGCTGCAGCCGGTATGCGATTGCACCTCACTGGAGAGTTTTAGTAATGCGCACAGAAGCAAACGCAAGCGCTGTGCGTTTGCGTTAGAGTTGCCTGCCCCACGTTGTGCGTGCGCCTCATCGCCATGCGCCATCCAGGACCGCAATTTCGGGCTCCGCGCACGCGCAGTGGGGAACGCGCAAAGCTAACGCAAACACACAGGGCTTGAGTTCGCTCGTATACGCAATATTAAAACTCACTACTGTTTCACCGGCTTCCAACGCCAACGAAACGTGCTGCAGTGAGCAGATGTGCAAGCAGGTAGGCGTTCCTTCGAACTGGAACGGCTGAGATTGGCAAAACGACGGCGAGCAAATACAAAAGTAAATAAATGTTATGAAAAAAACTAGTAACTAAAAAAAAAAAAAAAAGCTTTTTTTTCTTTACGTTTGGGCATTTGGTCCGGAAGTATATTGGCGGCGACTTTGGACGTTTCGCCGATTGTCAAAAGTCGCGACTTTGATAGCACAATATACTTTACCCATAATTAATGTAGTTTTACACAAATTTCTCACATTAGCTAGAACGTTTTCATTGATTTTAGACTATTTTTTTATTTTATTGGTAATTAAAATGCAGCATTTGGAACCAGTGATGATAATTAGCACGGTTTTCATTTCATATATCTTCGTCCGTTTAGAATTAGATCATAACCAACAAATGGTATTAGAGCTTGAAGAATTACTTATTCAAATATGTGAATTTTAATATTATTATTATTAATACAAATCTCGGCAATGTATGCCTCCAATTAACGCCAAGATCACGAGAATACCCTACTTAACATAATAGTCTTTCTAGAAAGGTATAACTCTGTTTTCTTTTTAGCATGTGAAAATATATGAAAATAGACAAACAGTCAAACACAGGATGTAATATGAAGTCCTAAAGACAGCTGAAGTGTGCGGTGCTATAAAAACACACGCACACTTCAGCTGTCTGACTCGGATTCCGCCTTTGGGTTGTCGCAGTGAGAGCAGCATTTATTAGTTTATGCGTTTCGTGGACATATTGTAAAAATTGGAATTATTCTCTTATTCTTGTGCTGGGATAATTGTCATATTATCTGAGCGAGAAAAAGGCAGAGAGAACGCACAGATATCAGCACTGATTTTTTCAACAACTACAAATATCAGCCTGGATCGAACAGTATGTCAAAAAATAAAGTTTTTGCGAATAACTTTTCTAAATAAATAATTACGATGTGAGACACATCTTGAGTCATCAAAGAATACGAAATTAAGACCTATATCGAGAAATTAAATCCAAAATAGAGGTAAGTTTCGGTTTCGCTCCAGAATTAAAACGCGCATCCTTCCGTAATTAATACGCTAAACACCGTTGTTGTTTTCAGGTTAAAGAGGTGGCCTGCACTCATAAAACATTAGCTTCCTCGTATTACCAGAAATAATTTGTATCGCTCAGTAAAGCCAGCACACTAGACAGGCTCAACAGCGGCACGCATCTCTGACCCTCACTAAACCCGCCATCTTGGAAAATGAGTGGCGCCACCTATAGTTAGTTGGAGTCGCGAATATCACACAAAACAAGGAGATAGAATCAATGAGAGTCCCTTTTCGACGACAGCGTTCGTCACCGCTGTCTCGGAAAACAAGGAGATCGAGATGACAAGGGGAAAATATTGACCTCTGAAATTTAGTTCAGGGATCAAACTACTCATCCAGTAAGGGTCCACAAGGGTCGCGCGGGCATATTCCATTCAGCAGGCCAGCCGGCCATGGACAGACGGTCTTGGCCAAGGACCGCCGGAGCAACGGTGCGCCGAGTCGATGTTGCTGCTAGGCCTACTATATTCTGCCGAGCTCGCTCGGTCGGCAGAATCGTGGCCGTTGTAGCTCTTCTCGTGTGTTTGTGGATCCTGCGTTCTTGATCGTCGTGGTCTGTTTTAAGTACTCCTTCCTTTTTTCTTGCTGGTTGAAGTCGGGACGCACGAGAAGAGCACGAAGAAAAATAAATGTCCGTTGATGGCCGATACCAAGTAATTGAGCGACGCTGTCGGCCTTGTTGATTTGATCGTAAAAAGTGCGTAAGACAGCTTCGGAGCTGTCGTAGGATTCTGCCGTAACCTGCGGAAAGGTTACGACAATTTCGTTTCGAGAGTACGGGTTTTCTCTCAAATTTGTCGTACGCACGTTTTTCGTCGTGAATTCGCTTTGAGAATCCGGCCTCAGAGCTGGTTTTGTCAGTGCTGCCGTGGTTGCCGACTTGCCGTGGTGCAGCGTGCGTGCAGCCCTTGCACATCTCAAACGGCCACGTTGTCACAGGTCGTAAATCGTCGACGCGCCACCAAGTGGCAACGCTCGTAACCACAACATTCACGCCGTAGCCTTTCCCGACTGGCACAAGTGACGTCACGAATGCGCCCAATATCCCAAGACGCATCGCGCTCTCCGATGGCCGATTTTTGAGCGCGCGCCCAATCGGGCCCATTAGGGTGAAAAATATAGCCATCCGTTCAAAATACAAACGTGCGATTATGATTTATGAATATCATTGATCATATTGAAGCTATTTCTGACCATAATAGGTGTATTTCAAGTTTCGCTTCAGTATCCCTTTAAAATTTCTTAGGACGAGAGAACACACTGGCACGCTGGCGCCATCTATGCGGTGATTCTGGAACTGCATTTCACAAGAGCGAAGGTTTTGCGGTATTTCCGAGGTCAAATGTGCGTAATACCTGTAAGAAAGGCTCGTTTATAACGTTGACAAAAGTTTTTCGAGCCAAGAATGAAAGGATAACGAGCGAGAGAAATAGAAAATGTGCCGGACCGCCAAGTTTACACTGTTACCCAATAGATGACGCCAGTGTGTCCTCTCGTTCTAAGAGAATTTAAAGAACCCAGTTTTAAGAGGTCGCAAGAGTTTGAACGGGCCTTAACATTTTTGATTACAAGACGAAGTACTTATGAATTCCGTTTCCACCATTGGTATTTTCCGACTCAAGAGCAGTGTAAATATCTGGTGCTAGGTGGCGTAAACTATTGCCCAATACAAAGGGTATTTTTGGTCTACATGACGGCAAATCAGCTTAACCACTGAGCTTAACGTTCAAATCAGCTGGATAGAGCTCTGGCTGGATTTACTGGTACTATTTCGCGAGAATTCATCGTTTGTCGGGTTTCTCGTCTCACGTTCCTTCCGTTCTTGCCGTCATCCGTCTCATATGCTCTGTTTACTTGGTTCTGTGGCACATCAGAAGCAGTGCAGCGTGCGCGTGCACAACTTTGATCGACACTCAGGGTACGTGAACGTGAGTTTACGGACGCCCGTAGCCTTCACTTCATTGCCATACAAAGTTGTCTCACGTCTAAATTTAGACGACGGAACTCGACTCCTGCGCGAATGTCTGCGATCACGTGTATAACTTTACGATGGACAGCAGAGGGAGGTGCGAACTGTCGAAGCCTAGAGTGCCTTCATACACACGCGCGCTCTCGAAGCCAGTCCACTGAGTCCACTGCCGTGTGTCACGTGAACTCCGTGAGGGCCGCGCAGTGACGCGCGGGGCGCGTAGTCACGTGCCACAATCACAGTGCTGGATCGGCTGGGATGGCTCGTAGCGTTTGCTGCGGTCCATCGTAATTTTACAGTGTAGTAATGTGATGCAAAGTACACATGGCTTGCACTGACGTCACATTGACGGCCATTGTTGTGACCTTCTTTGCTCGGAACCTATGTACCTTCTGCAGGATAGATTTCGCACCACAGAATTTTTTTTTTTTTTTGCCTCCAAAAACAAATAAAAATTACCACCAGCATGGTACAATGGCATCACGTGTAAGCCATTTATAGTTGCTATTAAATTTGGGTGACTTTGGTATTGGTATTTTTTTTATTTAACTCTGTGAAGTGCTGTCCAAGCAGGATGGGTTTACTGAAGTTGCAGCACTGGCTTTATTGAAGCGAAGGTTTTCCTCCAATCCCAACCCCGTTTTGAATTTTTTTTTTTTTTTTTTTTTTTTGTTTAATTATTTTTTCTTTTTTTGCCAGGGGAGGGGGAGGAAAGCTTTTTTTCGTTTGCGTCCAAGGAGGATTAGTGTGGGCTCATCAAGGTCAAGGTCTCTGCATTTGTTTGTTGTTGTCAGTCCCCAATCTCCCGAGAACAAGAAAGGAGAAGAGACGAAGGCGAGGAGGAAAATGAACGTGCAGGCCACAACTTCAACATCTTCTTAGAGAAGTGTAAATTCTTTCGCCGTGTTAGCATTTGCTCTATTAGGTCTTGACAGCCCTTTAGGTTACCCCAGAGGGTCGCTGGCTCATACCCATAGCTTTTTGATGCCTTGCAAATTGCTAACAGCTGCTCACAGATACGCACGTGTACAGGGACCTTGCTTGCAAGGGTGCCAAGCTAATGTCTCCCAAATCACCTTCCAGGTGACTGTGACTGTCCTGGACCGCAACGACAGCCCGCCCCGATTCCAGAATGGGCCGTACACCATCTCCCTGTCCGAAGATGCTCCGGTGGGCTCGACAGTGGCAGTTCTGCAGGCGGACGACCCCGACCTGGAAGGCAGCGTTCGCTTCAGCATCGCCGAGGGCCAGTCGGATGCCGGGCACTTCCGGATCGATCCCCAGACCGGCGCGCTCCTCCTGGTTGAAGCCCTGGACAGGGAGCTGCAGGCGCAGCATCTGTTCTCGGTGACGGCTACGGATGGACTCCAGTCGACAGAGGCGCTCGTCTCTATTGAGGCGAGTGAACCATATGCGTGACTTGGGAAAAGAACAATGGGGCCTTCATGCTTTTCTTTCAAAAGAGCAAAAAAAAAAACTTAATGTACCTAAACCTATGGATAAAGTTTGGAGACACAGAAGGTGCATCGGAAGGACAGATACATTTCTCCTTGTATTAAGTTTATTACTGTTAATCGGCGGTCATTAATAAATCTTTCAGCCACTTTTTGTAAGCTTATGTCTCGCCAACTTTGGCAGGCGAGACGTTTCCTGCTAAATTTATCCGAAAATTAAGTCTGCTAAAGTTGCCAGTCAAAATATTGTCCGCGCAATTTGATTCCCAAAATGATTCAATTATAATTAATTAACGTTAATGCATTTGGTGCAAGCAGAGGAATATACACGCTTGGCAGCTGCATGATGGGGTGTTTGCATGACATCGCCGTCGTTTGAAAAAGGATCACTGTGACGGCATCACGGTGTCCACTTGAAGTCATCGACGTGATGGTCGTCGTGGTGTCACACGAATTCATGTCAACACCGTGATGAAGTCAATGTCACATTGTGGTGTCACTGTGACGACATGCAACACTGACGTCACATGACACCGATGTCGCGTCAAATGGTTACGCGACGTAAGGCCGCATGACCGCATGCTTTCTTTATGATCATGTGACACCATGACTTCTTGACACTATAGTGTCACATGGTGACATGTGACAGTGACTTCACATAACACTGCTGTCACGTCACAGGTCATGTGACACAAGGCTGCATGCTTTCCTGCTGATTACGTGACATCATGACTGGGTGGCATATATGACATTATGGTGTCACATGATGACATGTGACACTGATGTCACGTCTTGTGGTCACTTGACATAACGTCAAGTGGCACCATCATGTCACAGAAGACCTACGAATACTACGCATCTAGAGCACCTTTGGGGTATGCAGGATAGACAAACAGTTTTTTTTATCGTCCCACACTGCTTGTTACTCACCTCGCCTCCTCCGCAACCTCAGGTAACCGACACGAACGACAATCTGCCACTCTTCGGCGAGGCGGCGTACTCGTTTGACCTCTGGGAGGACACCCAGCGGGGCGCCCAGGTTGGGGCAGTGTCGGCCGTGGACGCGGACTTGGGCCTCAACCGGCAAGTCAGCTACTCGGTGCTGAGCGACTGGGCCAACGATGTCTTCTCGCTCAACCCACAGACGGGCGTGTTCACCCTCACTTCGCACCTCGACTACGAACTGGTGAGAGGCTCTCCGAAATCACCCACTCACAGAAAATGATTGTGTATAAAGTTTCCAGTACGACGGAACCCTCCGTTCTGGCGGCCTCGTGATGTTGCGCATAAATGGGGTTTGGTGTTTTCGGTATAAACCTCCGAATGTGTGTCAAATTAATGTTTTAATAATTCAGTTGTAATTGAGAGTGCTCAGTATTTTAGGGTGGTAGGGGGGAGCGCTTTCTTTGGGATCTCTCAGTGTTACGCTGGGTTTTCAAATTTCTTTGTCTTTTATGATCGGGCTTTGTGGACCGAGTCCCAAGAAAGAGAAGCAAAAGAAAGACCAGTTACTATCTAGGGTTGAAATGAGGTTCCACAGATATTAAAAAAAAGAAGGTAAACGTTTATATGTAGAAATAGTCACCTTTTAGATTAAAAACAAAACAAAAAACTATGTCAATTAAAAATAAAATGAAAATGTTAAACTCAGTACGTAAAGGAACAACTATGTGGAATACAAGAAGGTTCCTGTTGAAGTTCCTGCTGAAATTTAAGCGGTAGCCATGCTCACTTGCTGATCCTCTTGCTTCATCAAATACTTCTTTTTGCATACATGAGCACCTGCTTACATACATTCAAATGTGCACCTTAATGCAGCAGCCTGTTTTTTTGTTTTTTTTAATAATCTTACAGTAACGGCAAAACATTTCATCTTTAGTAAAGGGTAGGGGCATAGCAGTTTTGTGATGTACGAAAGGCGAGGCACACCAAACGCAAGACTTGTTTCAGGTCCCCCCGAAAAGTATGGATAGGAAGGGCGCACTGAGAATGGGCGTCTCGATCGCTGGCAGGAAAAGAGGAATGGTGTGTCCAGTGGCGTCGGAAGTATTTCTGAGGTGGGGGGGCAACGGAATTGGGGTGGAGTGGGGGGGATGAAGCATCTGGAACAACATGGATATATAAAATCGAAACGCTCACAAACGTTTATTTAGATCGAATATATGTCCTTCCTCTTTTGGAATGTGGTGATCTTGTTTTTCTCCCATGTTGACGTCTTCAAACAGCGTGAAATAAGAAAGAGCTCACTGGTGCCCGAAAACGGTTCGTCGTTCAGCCGTCCTCGACACAAACTCTCTGATGATAGAGTTCAGACCAAGTTTTGCTTCTCACTCACTATTTACGTGCAGCAGCATCACCTGAGTCAGTCGCTCTTGTGACATGGTAGCTCTGAGGTAATTCTTGATACCCCGAAGTGCGCTCAAACTTCGTTCAGCTGATGCCGCTGACGCTGGCGTGTCATTGCTGTCATTATAAGTGCCTCAAGGTGCATCACCTCAGTAATCATCCTCTTGAGCTCTGGGACTTGTCTGCCCAGAGCACGGTACAACTCGAGTATGGAGCCGATCTGACAGCTTGAGAGCGAGTGAACCGTGTTCAGCTTCCTTGAAATGCTTTCCAGGTGAAAATCAGTAGCGTGGAATCCTAACTTCCTTTCAAGTTCTTTTGCAGTTTGTGGCTTCTCTTGAATAGCGCACAAAATTATTTGCTCTAGTTGTGCGAGACTTTGCATGCCTGGTTGCTTGAATCCTCTTGCAAGCTCGGCGCGAACACAATCTAACGCTTCGTAGAGCTGCTTCCGAAGGCCTGTCTCCGCGTCTAGAAACGCTGGTTGACAGGGCTCGCTGCTGTGTTCAAAACTTCTTGGAGGACCGCATCGCGTGGTCTTGTTTGAAGGGGCCTTTAGCTTATGCTTCTTTGCTGCCCCCTCTGTACGTTAGTACATGTCCAAGTCCTCGGCGGTACCCGCACAGCACAACGCCCAGGGGATTACTGCAGCCTCGAACTGCGAAATCAAATGCGCTTCGGGCAGCGTAGGCGCGTATGGACTGCTTTATTCGGCTTCAGAAATGGAGAAGCTCCTGCTTATTTCTGGTTTTAAAATAACCCCAAATAATTGAGCCTTCGAATAACTAATACCATGATGATGAATATCATCATGCCACTCGTAATGCGAGAAATTCATGCCACCGAAATATCTTAAAAATCGCACTCTGAGAAATTTGCAAAATATCGAGCTCGCGAGCCGCCATTACTAAAAAATTTCTGGGGGGGCGGTCGCCCCCCCTGCCCCCCCTGTTCCGACGCCACTGGGTGTGTCACACTTTCGGAGACTGACGCCTGGGACTAATCTCCGCATTGCAGTACCAACATTACGTTCTGGTGGTGCAAGCCCAAGATTCCGGCACACCCAGCCTTTCAAGTACAGCCACGGTTTACGTGAACGTCCTTGACCTGAACGACAACGCCCCCCTCTTCGACCCGATGAGCTACAGCGACGAGGTGTTAGAAAACGTCACGGTGGGTTCCAGCCTGCTGCGCGTCAGCGCCACCGACCTGGACTCGGGTGAGGACCTGTCACCAATACCGTAAAATACCGAGCACGTGCCCATGGCTTGGTATGCGCTCACCCTCTACTTCTGAAATATAAACCAAAGGGCATATCGAGCTCTCATCCCGGGGCACTTCTGAGCCTGGTCCAGCTAACAGTATTGCTCCTTTATGTCAGTTACTTTTCTGAAAAGCCGGCACAAAGCGGTGAAGCTCTGCGCATGTGCACTGGTGTGAAGGTTGATGCGCAGGTGCAAAGCAGACTTGGTGGGAGTGGCACAGCTGCTTTAAAAATGAGGAGTTTCGCCAGAAGCCTATACTGCTCCTTGACTTTTTGGCAGATCAAACAGGGGCTTACCCTACCTTGTGCCCCTTTTGCTTTTTTGCTGTAGGGCATAAAGGAACACTGGCGGGGTATTTATGCTCGCCGATACTTTTATTTGAACTTGACCTCAAAGAGCTTAACTGCCCAGAACACCATTTGCGGCTCGAAATTCGTTTCCTTTCCACCCGAAAACAGCTGTTCAAGGATGGGTTAGTTTCAGTCGCACTCACTCTCTTTTCTGTGGTCAGGTGGTGTTCAAACTATGTGTACCAAATATACATTCAAAGTTGTGGGCCATATAAGGCACACATTTAATGTTAAAAAAAAAAATAATAATATGAATCCCATTTTTGCGGCCTCCACAAACCTGCAAATGCGTTAATGAAAAAAAAAAAAAAAAGTTGTACAGATTACATTTTTACTATGGCGACATACCGCGGAATGGACGACGCGGTGGCACCGCACGATGGACCAATGTTGCGACGGAAGTGGGGCCTCTACTTTGAAACTGTAGTTTGTGGCACTTGCCAATCGATCTTCAAGCGCAGCACATTGAGCGGAAGGAATGGCATATAAGTGCAAAACAATTGCACAACAAACTGTGCACACAACCTTGTTGTCCGCTTCACACGCCGAAAAAGCAAAAAAAAAATGCAGTCGAGTGAAGCCACATGGATTTCCAGCCTTCAGCTTACGTGCTCGTGTTTTGGATTTGAGCGGTTGAGTTTTTTTGCGTTATTAAAAATATATGTGACTCTAGCAAAATACTGATTGGGTAGTCTCCTGACAGCACATTAAATTGCCTGGCAAGAATTAAAAACATTTTTGTTGGGGGGTGTTAGCGTCCCTTTAACAGGCATTCATCCCCATTTTTTCGTGATTGTCTCAAACTTTTGGGTAGGCGGAAGCTCAATATTTTACGATACGCTGCTTGACTTGGAAAATGGCTGTCTCCCTCAAGCGGGGAATGTAGTGATTTAGCAGAGCATCTTGGTTCGCCCCAGTAAATGCTTCTTTATTTTGTGCTGGCTGTGCCGTGTTATGTTCATTGTTTTCCCTCGATTTGTCTGTACAAGTATTTTAGAAATAGGGCTTTACATTAATTAGGTTGAAGAAGATCAACATGTGTATTTTTCTTGTTTTATCTACGTTGATCTATATCTCCTGCTTGACCCTTTTGGCAGAGTTCGTAAGTTGAATGACAAGAACGAAAAAATTAAAGACATTTACAATTCTCTGTAACGCAGAATTAGAGTGCAGCTCTTGAGGAGGAAGAGGGAAGGGTATGGAGGGGAATTTACCGGAAAAATTTCTCCGCTAGATATGGTGAGAAAATTTCTCCGCTAAATTTGGTGGGAAAATTTAGCGGAAAAAATTGGCAGAGAAATTTTCTTGCTAAATTTAGCGAAAAAAATTGCCCACTAAATTCCTCGAAAAACATTTCCCGCCAAATTTAGGCACCGCGTGACAAGACGAGGGGATACGTCACACGTTACGTCACCCTTGTGACGTCATTAGGGGAAACGTCCCATAATGCAACGCGAATAAAACGTATCCAACAACAACATAATGCAACGCGCGGTTACACCGACGGCGACGCCGCTCAAGACGGAAACAAGCGCCTGAGAGCTGCGCTCTAAAAGGAAAGGAGGCCACATGGCAAACTTTAACTTTGTTTGGCGGTGCCTTTAGGGGGCGCATTAATTATGTTGACATTGAACAGGTTATTGGCGTTAAGGTGGTCTGCTGTGAGAAATCAGCATTTGCTTGTGAACAGAATGCAAGGTGTTTGACAACAGCACATTTGTCTGTGCACAACTATTTTTTTTTCTTGATGACAAGAGAACTTGCAATGCGATATATTACATGAGTGCTGGTGTCACTGGCATTCCTGCATGCACAGCTCCCTTCAAACTTTTTCACAAAAACTGATGAAGTTCTACTGACACAATCTATGTTTCCATTTTATTCAGACTGGGAAGTTGATGCAAAGTTGCAGAAAAATATTGGCTCCGAAATATTAAGAGTGAGGATATTCAATAAAATCTATATTATCAGTTTAAATTTATTTGCGGTGTTAACGAGCACAGCAAATGATTTGTGTCTTGGGTCTGTTTGAGGCAGTAGTATATGCTTTCAATGTTACTACACCGATCCTTGGAACACGTTGAAATTGGACTCAGTAGAGTCTCTCACGTTTAGTGACACCGATCTTTGGAATGGAATGCAGGTGACAATGGGCGCATAGTCTACAGCATTGCGGAAGGTGACCCCGGCGGCCAGCTCGCCATCTTGGCCAACGGAACCATTGTCACACGTCTTCCACTGGACCGGGAACGCAAGTCACTCTACAGTCTGGTTGTTCGGGCCACCGACCAGGCGCCGGAAGTCCATAAGCGTCTGTCGAGCAGCGTGCAGGTCAGTGAGATCTGACACTTCAGTGCAGTGTTGGATTTTTTCATGTTAGCTTTACTTAAAAATTTAAAGAAAAGCTGAAGAGGTTCATGAAAAAAGCCGGTTGGAGGTGAACTCTAGAGTATTTTTATTCAGTGAATATGAATATCACGTTCATTTTCCCCGAAGATGTAACTAAACGTGAGAAAATGCGAAAAACCTCCGACTTTTGAACGCCTTTCGAACGCCAACTGCGTGTTGCTCATGTGGACAGCGCATGCAATTGCAAGCAATTGCAAAAAATAAATGTTTTAAGCGAGTTTCGTATGTCTTGTCAATGAAGGGTTAATGCTCACGCGAGGTCCCGTCTTCAAGTCCCTCGTTTCTAGCTCAACCACCTCCACGCTTTGCGACTGTCACCGTGCAGGTGACCATCGTGCTCAAGGACGTCAACGACATGGTGCCCGAATTTGTCACCCCCAACGTGACCAGCGTCCAGGAGAATGCGCCGGCTAACACCATCGTGATGGCCGTCAAGGCCGTGGACCGCGACGAGGGACGCAACAGCTACGTCGAGTACAGCGTCTCCCCCGAGCACACCTTCTCCCTCGGACCCGTGGATGGACTGCTCCGCGTCCGGGGACTGTTGGACCGCGAGCAGCGCGCCAGCTACGAGCTGCTGGTGACCGCGCGGGACCGGGGCCACCCCGTGCGGGTGGCCTCGCAGCGGCTCCGGGTGCGGTTGCTCGACGAGAACGACAACAGCCCCGTGTTCGACCCGCGGCAGTACAGCGCGGCGGTGTCGGAGAACTCGAGCGTCGGGGCAAGCGTGCTCCGGGTGTCCGCCACGGATCAGGACGAGGGAGCATCTGGACAGGTGCGTCGGGTCGGTCCGCTGCTTCTAGGCAGATTGTGGGTGCATCGAATGTGAAGGGCATTTCTGAGCAGACCCTACACACTTTTGACGATGTATCAGAGCCGTAAACTTCCATGTGATGTGTGTTACCCATCGTTGCCATAGGATAACAGCAAAACTTCCCTTTATTTATTTATTTATTTGCAACACTTCAAAACCCCATTCAAGGGCATTATATGGGGGGGGGGGGGGGGGGGGGGGGGAAAGGAGGGGTAATTGCAAAGCATATCTCAGCTAAAACTCAGCAGTAGACTAAAAATGCACTTTCAAAAGGCCTACACATAAAATTAACAAAGCAATGCGGAGCTCAAGTTTGTCTGCTTCTTGCACAGGGGTTGCGATGGTGTCAGAACGCCGAGCTCTTATTGGCTGATCGAAAAAAATAGTGGGTAGACCTCAAGGCACATAGCATTGAGGTCTACTCACTATCCTTCCAATCATAGCCTATCTGAACTTGGCGTCGTTCTGACATCACCGCAACCCCAGCGCAGGAAGCAGACGACTTGCTCTCCAAATAAATCATGACAAGCCGATCTAAACGTTATCTACACCATGTACAAAACACATCTTCACAATGCACTAAGAAAAAAAAACCAAAAAAACCTAACAGAGGTACTTTAAAGGGCGACTCCGCTTAATTTCAAAAATTTTGAGATAGTGGCCGATTTTGCTTTTTGAAGCACTCAAAAACAACCCCCAATCCTTTGTTTCGCGAAAAATAAAATATTTTTCGTGTAATTTTACTCTAGCCATGATCTCAAACCGAAACCGAAACGATGGCAAAGCCGGACAACATTGTATATTCGGCATCACTAAGCATGTACACCCACGTGATATACAAGGAGAAGAAGGAGCTCCCCTCTTATCAGGATCCTCCTTTGTGCCTCCTGGATTAGCACAGGCGTCGCTATTCTCCTTCCAGAAGATTATAGAAGATTAACCTGCATGGGCGTCCGCAGAACTTTTTCCAGGGGGGTGCACACTTATCCTCCTCCTTCCCCCCCCCCCCCCCCCCCCCCCCCCCCCGGGGATGTTAGCTATGTTGGCTATTTTCAGCATGTTTCCACGTTACTCTCTACCTGCTTTCACGGCCGCGCCCTGGATTTTGCACTGCACACCCGTTGATCTCTATGACAATTGCTGGATCGCGCTTCCCGCTTCCGCGAGTGAAGCCACCATAAAGTTATAATAATGTACGCTAGAGGTTAAACTGGCGCTAGAGTGCTGCTGCAAATTGAAGCAAATAGCAACCAGTCGAAAATTGACTTCCGGTAATGCATTTCTATGGGAAAAAGCGAGTGCATTTTCTCTCTGCGCTCGATTATAACAGCAAATATCACGAATTATTCGTACGTACTAGGTAGCTTGGAACATTTCTCAGTCACGCAGACGAAATAATTGGTCAGTTACAGCGTTTTTACTTGAAATTCGTGGCATGAAAAACGGTGTTAAAACCGCTCCGTACATGTACTTTTGTGCACTGTCGGACACTGTTAGCGCGAACACGGCGTCGGCGCTTTCCACCATGGGGGATATACCTGTCAAACGAACGAAGTCCATGTAGGAAATCAAGAGAGACGGCAAGAAGTACGCAGTAACACTGGATAAGTAACTCCCTGTGCATGCAGGCGATCAAAATAAATTAAAAGCCACGTAGTATAGTTCGATTCGCAATAAATAAGTGCTACTTTATTCTTTCTGGTCATGAATATGTGCCAACATGCATGTTCTGGGTTCAAATCATCAACCGCACGCTGCAAATCTTCGCAAATAGGGAGAAGTCAGAGAAAACGTGCCCGATAAAAACTGCCTGACATAGGAAATAACAAAAAGACGCACCTTTCGTAGCCCACGTACTTTATTTTTTACATTCGAAAGTTTTTAACCGATTGTAAAGATGCACGACGGAGTCATTTACATAGAGTGACAGGACCGGTATATTAGCAAAATATAAGCGCCACCGGAATGCTAGCGAAGCTTGAACACACTCTCCACTCCTTTCGATCGTTAGTTTGCTTAGAATCGTCGCTCGTTCTAACATACCTGCCATGGAACAGAGGTTTAATCCTGAAATATAAAGCAGCTTAACATCGTTCAGTGGTGAAGAAAAATACTGTAATTAAAGCAATTACACTTTTACAATATTACTAAAGGTACATACTATCCTTTACAACCAAAATGACAGAAGTTGTTCGTGTTATTTTCTGGCGAAGAGACAAAATTCACGCACGATTTCCCATAGGAATGCACGGGAGCACCGCAAAAGTAGACTGGTTGCTGTCTGCTTCAATTTGCCTCCCGGAAGTCGCATAGACACTAGAGCCAGTTGAACCTCTAGCGTACATTATAACCTCTAGCGTACATTATAACCATTATAACCACTATAGCCACTGGGCGGCCATCCTGCATGTCGAAAAATCGCGTTTTTGGAGCGTTACGGAGGCTAGCGGCAGCGTGCTGAAGACACATTTTCTACTCGTTCGTCATCATTCGTCGAAGGAGTTTTTAAAACCCTCCGTAAGCCGTGAGTCTTGCCATTGAGAACACGTGGAAATTTTTACGGAAGCGCGGTGCCGCAGAAAAAAGACACAACGCGTCGAAAACAAGTTTTGCCGGTCTCGCCACGTAGTCAAAACTTCCTTAACACTATCTTTTTTTTTTCTTTTTTTTTTTGCCCTTTAGATTTGCCGTTTTTTCAATAGCCATTTTGAATTTCTAGATAAAAAATTGCCTGCCGGGAACAGTAAGTCCATATTATTCAGAAAATGTAGTTAGTTTGGGTAGTCAAAAATCCACCGGAGTACCCTTTAACTGGTGTTGGTGCAGCTCCCCCCCCCCCTTCCTGCACCCCCCTCAAAATTCCAAGGGGGGGCAACTGCCCCCCCTTGCACCCCTCTGCGGACGCCCATGTTAACCTGTCACTCAAAATTCCTACAAAAGCAGCTTCCCTCTCCTCCTTTTACTTGGTGTTCAAAAGTATGCGCACTGAACACACAAGCCGCGCTCAACGAGGCGATGGGCCTATCAGTAGTATCATTAGTCGAGCGCCGGGCCGGCCGAGCGTGTCACTCACGTCTCTCACGGCGCTGGCGCCACCCGTGCTCTCCCCAAGAAAGAAAAGAAAATTAAAAAAAAAAAAAAGCGGTATATGCTTGATGACGTCACGGACGTGCCGGAAGAAGGAATTTGGAGGAAGCGGAAATGCATCCGGGCAGTGTTGTCTGGCCCGCACGTCTCATCCCAAACCAGCGGATTCGTGCTTGTCAAACTTTGACAGCGATTTTAATGAACTTCTAGGCGGAATTCCGTCGTAATATTTGCCATGGGGGTTTTGTAGATGATAACAAAGAGAACTGTATAGTTTTGCACTACTGGAAAAGAAGCGGAGTTGCCCTTTAATGCATTATTGCCATATAGTAACGGTAAAGCTTCTGCTTGAAATTAATTATTTTATCTTTGCTATGCTATAACGGTAAAGCTACTGTTTGAGGTGTGTAACTCCATCGTTGCCATACGATAAAGCTAAAATTTTCGTCCGACGTATGTTACTCCGTCATTGCACTGCAATAACGGTAAAACATTCGTTTGAAGTGCTTCACTCTTTCATTGCCGCGCAATGACAGCAGAGCCTTTGTTTGAGGTGCACGAATTCAACACTGCCAAAACTTCCGTCTGAGCTGCGTCACTTCATCGTTTCCGTACAACGACGACAAAGTTTATATTCGCAGCGCGTCGTGTGGGGTTTTCATGCGATAACGGGAAAGGCTCTTGTCCCAGGTGCGCTACTCCATCATTGCGGGCGACCCCAACCATGACTTCTCCGTTGGACAAGACACCGGGGTGCTCCGGGTCCGCCGCTCCCTCGACTACGAGCGCCGCACCCGCTACCTCCTCACCCTCCAGGCCGAAGACTGTGCCGGCGCCAGCTCCGAGCTCCGCTTCGACACCGCCACAGTCACCATCTCGGTGACGGACGTCAACGACAATGCGCCCGCCTTCCTCGACTCGCCGTACGAACTGCACGTCGTCGAGAACGCGGCGACGCCGGTGGTGCTCCTGACGCTGGCGGCGCACGACGCGGACCAACTCCCGAGCGGTCCGATCCACTACCGGCTGGAAGACCTGGGGCACGGAGCGTTCCGCATCAACGGGACTTCGGGGGAGCTGTCGCTGGAGCGGCCGCTGGACAGGGAGCTGCGTGACCGCTACCTGCTCACTGTTCTTGCCGTGGATTCGGGTGAGTGAACGGACTGCGTCAAATCCCTTTTTTTTTTTCCTGAGAGTGCTATCTTATTTTTTGTTTTGGGGCCTTGTGTGAAGGTAAAGCAAAAAAAAAAAATACTTGGCCAGGACGTTAAGTGAAATGAAAATGCCCTTTTGGAATGGTATACACAGCAAAATATCATTTGCTGAAAATGAAAAAACAAAAAACAAAGAAACAATAAGAGGTTCTTTTATATATGTTCCTATCTCAAGCAACCTTATGTTGTTTATTAGACTATATATTTCTTGAATAAACTTTGTTATTATTATTACATTGTCTAAATTAATTTCTACATAAAATCTGACTTTTAGATATATACTAAACGAATCACCACATAAACTGAATGTCTGAAGATCTTAATAAACCCCTCAATCAAATAAATTCAGTGAAATACCTTTCATCTGCAAAAAGCTTATGGTTGAGTAAGTATTTGTACTTGCTTCTGCATTTGCATTGATGAATTGTGCTGAGAAATTGGAGCAAGATGATGTAAGACTGTAATATACTAGTTTGTGAAGTTGGACAAAATCCTCCTCTTGGAGAAAGAATAAGTTTATCTTGCTAGAAAATATTCTTAATTATGTTCTCTTAGTTCTTACTGCTTAGGCATAAACATCTGCTGCAAGAAAACATTTGCTACGCATCTTTCTTGCTGTTAAAACCCTTGAGGTTATTAGCTGTACAGCTGTGCCAGCTGAATTCTGCACAGCAGAGACATGATGTGCAATTATATAAAGCAGCACTAACTTCCCATCATACAAGCAAGTGATAATTACATTTTTAGAGCGCAGCTCTTAGGGGCCCGTTTCCGGCTTGAGCGGCGTTGCCGTCGCCGTCGGCGTAACCAAGGTCACCCAAAGGTTACGTGACCCCTAAGGTCATCCCAAGGTCACGTAACCCCCCAAGGTCACGTGATCCCAGAGGTCACGTGATCCCAGAGGTCACGTGATCCCTCCCCTAGGGTCACGTGACCCCCTCAGGGTCACGTGAACCCCCCCAGGTCACTTCACCCCCCCCCCCCCCCCCCAGTACCCTTCCCTCCTCCTCCTCAAGAGCTGCGCTCTAATTCGGTGTTACAGGGAGTTGTAAACGGCTTTCACTTTTTTTATTAATTTTAATACAAGTTTATTTTTAATGATATACAAAGTGTTTTCCTTTTTTAAGCTTAAGAGATTTGTTTAGAAAAGGTTGGGAAAGCCACACTGATGTGGTTTATGCAGGTGATTCATACGGCCAGGGGAACATAGTATATGAATGGCAGATCATAACGATCAGTTGGCTAATTAAGTAAAATATGTTAATTAACTTTTTAATTAGTAAAAGGAGACATACAGTTCCAATTAGAAACTTGCTGAGTGTCATCCAAAACCCCTAAATCAATAATTTTTAGAAATGCTTTGAGCGCGTGGGGAGCGTAGCAGTGTGCTAAAGGTGTCAGTCTTGCAACAGGTACAAGGCGGGCACCTTATCACACCGGTAGCCTTGCACCTGCCGCACAAGTATTAACTTCAGCGCACTACTGCACCTCTCACGCGCTCAAAGCCTTTCTGAAAACTACTGATTTAGTGGTTATCGATGATGCTCAGCAAGTTTCTAATTGGAACCATACGTCTATTTTCACTAATTAAAAAGTTAATTAACAAATTTTACTTAATTAGTTGACTATTAGCCTCCTACACTATGTCCCCCTGGCCGATAACTCACCTGCACACACTGCGTAAGTGCAGCTTTCACAGCTTTTTTCAAAACAAATCCGTAAAGCTTAAAAAAAAGACACCCCGTGTATATTCATTTTGCTCCAAAAGTCTTTTTGACCCAGAATAAGTAAAACAGCCCAGAAAAAATCAAAAAGACACAAGGACAAGTAGAAGACAGAAACATGCATGCTGACTTTCGACTGCCTTTTTCTCCCACAACAGAATGCTGTGTGTGTGTGCATGTCTTCTATTTGTCCTTGTGTCCTTTTTTCCGCTGTTCTGCTTATTCTGATCATGCACTGCCTCGCCCAGACTACACACCTTGCTACAGCTCATTTCGTTGCAGCCCATTGTTCTCGCTACAAACCTTGTAGACAGTCGATTAAAAATTTCGAATGAATCTGCCACCGAACTCAAAAGGATGATCTTGAGCTGTGACACGGACTTTGAAACTTGCAGGCAATCCCAGACAGACAGGGACCGGCACGGTCAGCGTGTTTGTGAGCGACGTCAACGACAATGCTCCAGAGTTTGATCGCAGTCGCTACGTAGCGTCACTGGCCGAAAACCAGCCTGCTGATCACCCCGTGACTCGCATCACTGCAACAGATGCCGATGTTGGTCGTAATGCACGCATCAGGTACGTGAGCCAATTTTTTTCTCTGTTCTTTTTTAAATGTTTTGACGTATAATAGTTGTTTTTTAGGTTCATTATTCAGAACTGAAACATTACTCAGATCTCTTTGCGAGTATCTTTTTGTAGAAATATATCTGGAGGATTTTTCTTATTTTTTTTTTTCGTGTTTGATGATGTTGTTTTACTGACAGTTGTGATGATGTTTTCTTTCGATGTATTTTTTTGAACTAGACAATCTAGCTAGATTAAAGGATATATTGACTGATCAGTAGAGTAATCACATCCGTGCAGATCGCATGTTTTACGTGGACCTGCTGACCCTATACTTTAAAATTATACTACTGCCATGGCAGATACGCACTAACTCCCAGAAGGTGGAACACTGCAGAGAAACAGCATGCAACTGAAACACCAGACTGCTAACACATGTTCATATGTATTTTATTCACCTATTTCTGTTTAAATGCATAAAAAGTTTAAACGCTCGTGTAATTCCATAAAGATTAAATTAACGGACTAGTGCCACGGGTTATGACGAGTGAGCATTTGTGCACACAGTCAAGCGCTCTCTCCTTGTACCGTAGGCTGCAAATTGGCCTCTGACACACCTCCATACTGGCGGTGGCACTAGTCAAGCCACATGCCACTGCTTTTGACAACTCAGCCATTCTTTACAAAATTCAAAAGCCCTCACTCCTAATAAAAAATTACTTCTGGCCATAGGCTCATTCCACAGTATCAACTATAAACTGTCCCTGCATCGAGGAAAACAAACAAGGGGTCAACCTTTTTGTTCTACGTTTGCCGAAAGCACCGTCGAGCATCTGGGGGACAGAGTAGCCGAAGGCTCGACCGGCAAGATAACAGATAATTTACCGACTCCTATTGCGGTCTCGTGTGACACGCGCTACAAGTGGACCGGCGCTTCTTTTATAACAGGTACTCGCTGCACGGGGAGCAAGGCAGCCGATTCAGCGTGGACGCCGAGAGCGGTCTAGTGCGGGCCCGCGTTCCGATGGACCGCGAGGAGTGCGAGCGCTACGAGCTCCGGCTGGTGGCCCACGACGACGGTCTGACCGTGCGCCACTCGGCCACGGTTGAGCTGGTGGTCCTGGTCACGGACCAGAACGACAACCGACCCACCTTCGCCAGTGCCAACACAAGCGTCGTCGTGCCCAGCGGCGCCGAACCGGGTAAGATTTGACTTCGGTAGTATGCACCGTCACGGTGCCAAAAAAGGTCCCTCGATTTCGGGCCAACGGCATCAAAGAAGTGTCGTGCCGTCGCCTGCCACGATCCTGGCAGCGGGACGGCAGCGGGGGCACATACAGCAGACGACTGTCCTGTCGTGGGGGTCGCTCTGCAGACGGTCAACGGAAGCCGAGACGGACACGAGACGAGACGCGGCGATGACGGCGGCCCTCGCGTTTGCTCACCTTTTTTGGCTACGAATCTACGACCAACCGGCGGGGTTGCAAGGGCGTGATGTGCCAGGCCTTGTGACATGATTTTCTGTTGCCACTTCGGGGCCGCTTTCGACGCAGGGGTGGGACGAAGCATGCAGTGAACGCACCGGCCACTAGAAAGCAGAGAAGAGACTGGGAAAGGGCGTGTCGTGAATTGGGGATGTCAGTCCGTTTTGTTTTGCCTAATGCTACCACTGTTCCTTGGTCTGGGTGGAAATGGACGCGGGAAAGAATACGAGAATGGTGAGCGGTAGCGGAGTTGCCAGAGTTTCCCGAGGGGTGGCGCGAAGAGGGAGTTAATTTAGAACTGAAGGAATGAATGTGCCCAATTATGCAGGTAGTGAAGACAACATTCGGTGATAAAACTAAGGTGCAATCACACTTGGTGAGTCAGTCTTCCTTGACAGTGCTGGCTGTTTGAGAATTTGTTTGAATTAACTTGCAACATGAAAATTTTGGTTTCTATATTTGATGGGGATTTTCTACTTTCTTTGTTACACTAAATGCTTTGTTTGTTCCCTAGTGTCTACTTTTTATTCTTTCTGTTTTCACAATATTTCGCTGTGACAAAAGTCCACCATACTTCAACTCAATTACTTGCCGTGTTTTCTTTTCTCGCATAGCCCCGCCACTGTTATTCCAGAGGGGCTTGAGTGCAGAATTAAATAAATACTAAATAAACTTCGTGCGAATATTTTTGTTACTTAAACGCTTTCCAATTCACATATCTTCGAATTTGTAGCACTACCTGCTCTGGCATTCACTCCAACGTATCGGCAAACGGTTTTTTAATACTCGAATGACAGCTGCCAGAGAGTATCATCTATCCTGACAATGCACAGAGCACTTGTAACATTAACCCCAACCCAACACGCAGGCCACTTCGTTCTGGGTGCCCGGGCAACGGACGCAGACTCGGGCCCCAACGGACAACTGGTATTCCACCTGTCCGGACCTGACGTGGACAAGTTCCAGATCCAACAGGACACCGGAGTGATCCGACTGGCACACCGCCTAGCCTCCTCCTCTCCGCGCGACGACTCCAGCTACGAGATCCAAGTCCACGCCACAGATCAAGGCCGGGTTCCGCTCGTCTCCAGCATGACCGTGTTCGTGTCCACTGCGGACGCACGGCAGTTCCCCAAGTTTCGTTCCAGCACGCCAGGCATGCTCACTCTCGCGGAGGGAGGCGGCAACGGCGTCGCCCCGCTGGCCACTCTGTCCGCGACGTCTCCGAAAAAGGGTCCGGCGGGACGGATAACATACCGCGTTGCCAGCGGAGGCAACGCATTCGCGCTCCACCCCGACTCCGGGGTCCTGACCGTAATCCGCGGGGATGCGCTCGACTTGGAAGCGACTCCGCGGCTCCAGCTGTGGCTCGAAGCTCGGGATGCTGACGAACCAGCACTCAGCAGCGCCGTGCGGATCGACGTGCAGCTCACCGACGTCAACGACAACGTCCCGGAATTCGAGCGAGATGTCTACAACACGTCTGTGCGGGAAGAGCAGTCGGCGGGACAACTTGTGGCGCAACTGCACGCACGTGATGGCGACAGCGGCGTTAACGGCAAGCTGCGCTACGAGCTGCGTCCGCTCCCAACGTCGCGCGACTTCGATGACCTGCCATTTGAGATTGACGCCGCGACGGGAGAGCTCCGCACGACGGCGAGGCTCGACCGCGAGACCGTGGCGCACTACCGGTTCCTCGTCGAGGCCAGAGACGAGGGGGACCCCAGCCTCACCGGAACCGCGACGGTGCTCGTGTCGGTCTCGGACAAGAACGACAACCCGCCCCGTTTCACGCGTCTCTTCAGTGTCAACGTGACGGAGAATGCGCCCCTCGGCGCCTTCGTGATCCAGGTGACCTCTTCGGATCGCGACGCCGCGGAGAACGCCAACGCCACCTACTCATTCACCGAAAACCCGGGGGAACGGTTTGCAATCGATCCGCTGACCGGCAATGTCACGGTCGCCGGTCCGCTCGACCGGGAGCTCCGCGACGAGTACCTACTCAAGGTAGCGGCCGTCGACGGTTCGTGGAAGGCCGAGACGCCCCTCACGGTCTCCTTGCAAGATGTGAATGACAACGCTCCGCGGTTCGAGCGGATGGCTTACCGGTTCCGCCTTCCCGAGCTGCAGTCCGGCGGCTCCTTTGTCGGTCGCGTGGCCGCCACGGATGCGGACAAGACCGGACCCAACGCCGCGGTTTCGTACTCGCTACGTCGGCCGTCGGACTTGTTCCGCGTGGATCCGGCAACCGGCGAGGTCCTCAGCAAGCAACCGCTCCGCTACCGTCGGTCTCCGAGAGGAGCCACGTCCCCAGAAAACCAGCACGTGCTTCGCGTGCTCGCGACGGATCATGGCAAGCCACCGTTGTCCTCGGAGACGACCGTCTATGTGAGCGTCGTGGATGCCAACAACCATGTGCCAAAGTTTGAGCAGACAACGTACTTCTCGCCGCTACCAGACAACGCGGCTGTGGGACTCTCGGTGGTGCGAGTTACGGCAAGGGACGATCAAGATGTCGGGGTCAATGCAGAGTTGATGTACAGCATCTTCGATGGAAATGGCACCGATCTGCTGGACATACACCAGACCTCAGGTACGTTGGTCTTTGTATCGTTTCTTGCGTTGCTTGACTTGTAGAATCTCGGTTGAACGTGAGACAAGTGTTTCACACTGCAGTCAGTGGTTTTGAAAGAGGGATACTACATTAGTGCGGCACGATACAAGACAGACACCACAAACTTAACTTCCGCAGAATTGTGTGCAATCTAAAACAGTGCGTAAAACCAATCTTGGAAAAGCCAGAACTGAAAAAGATACTAGTAATACGAGATTGGCACCAACTTACTAAGTTGTTTTTTCCTTTGATTTGTGTTCTTTTTCACTGTCAAATTTAACTGCTTGAGTATGCTCTAACTCGTCTGCTCCTTTACCTTTTGTTCTTCTGGCTGTAGGCCTTCACCGAAGACTCTAACCATTCAGTTGCAGCGGAGGAAATTTATGTCGTGCACTGATTGACGTCTGTTACACCGTCACAAACTACAGTCGTTGACGGGTGGGAATGGCAGAGGTGTTTTTCACTTGTTTCACGTCCAGCGCAAGCTTCTCATCTTTGATATAACTTCGCCATCTCATGACCTTCGAAGCACGACAGAAGGCAATGAGCGCGTGCGCTGGAGGCCAATCTTCCGAAGGAGACGCCCTGCCGTTGTAATCCTGTTCTACAGGAGCAAACTGCTCACACAGCGCATGGAAACTTTTGCAGGAGGTGTGAAGAGTTTCGTGGTGCGTTGTTACAGGGTGGCTGACGGTGGCCAAACCCCTGCCGAGACAACAGGGGCAGATGTTCGCGCTCAAGGTTCGGGCCACCGACCAAGGCGTGCCTCCCAAGTCTGCCGACACGGTCGTCTCGGTCACCATCACTGGAGAGAACCAGTTCAGCCCGGTGTTTACCGCCCTCAGCTACCAGATCATCATCCCCGAGAATGAACCAGTTCATTCGGAGCTCCTCACGGTCTCTGCCACTGATGCCGATTCTGGCAAGTGTTTGGTCATCTTTGGACCTTTACTTTTCCTTGTAGCCACAGAACGTAGAGGCCGGTTCGCACATTTTTGTTGTAACTGCTTTCTACTGGAGGACACAGCACCATCTATTGGGCACCCCTGGAAGACTCCCAATCTGCACATATCGTACTCATCATTCTCTCATCCTGAGCTTGAAATAATTTTGACAGCATTACACAATATAATTTCTCATGGATACTGCATAGATTTGACCCCCAAAACATTGCAAAACCTTCGGTCTAATTAGAGACTCAATATTGGGCCCCTGCGAATTTCTTAAGATAGAACGTTTAATTGTAATATGGATCCACAAAAGAGGATCTTTCGCTAATGGATGTACAACCAACACTCACAGACCTCATTTCAAGGGTGGCACTGCGCTGCACTTGGTGAAACTCGTATTACATCTGCTAGTAGAGTGCATTGTGTATTTCGGTTATTCAATGAAGGGCTTTTCGTTGACCCATTTCCGATGCAACTCCCAGGTCTCAACGGCGAAGTGCGCTACTCTATCGAGTCCGGCAACACGGGAGACAGCTTCGCCATGGAGCCCCACAATGGCGCACTGACCATCAGTGCGGTCCTCGACTACGAGACCGTGCCAGAGTTCCGACTCAACGTCAGCGCGTGCGACGCCGCGTTCCACCGGAAGTGCGCTTCGGCCACGCTGACCGTGATAGTGACCGACGTCAACGATTGCCCGCCGCAGTTCAACGCGACTCACTTTGACGCCTACGTCGCCGAAAACGAGCCTCCGGGTACCACGGTCACTCAGCTGTCCGCAAGCGACGCCGACTCCGGACGCAACCGCATTGTCCAGTACGCGCTCGTCGGAGGGTCGTCCGACTTCGCTGTCGACCCCCAAAGCGGGGTCGTGACCGCGCAGAGCAGCTTCGACTACGAGCAGACGAGCGAGTACGTTCTCGAGGTGGTCGCGAGCAACCCGGGCTCACTTCAGTACAGCTCATGCCAACTCCGCGTCCACGTCACCGGGAAGAACGAGTTCTTCCCGCGGTTCGTGCAGCCCGTCTTTCAGTTCGCGGTGAGCGAGTCGACGGTTGTCGGAACGGCTGTGGGTCGTGTGCTTGCGACAGACGAGGACTCCGGCCCCGAAGGCGACGTCTACTTCCTGTTCGTCGGCAGCAGCAACGACCGCGGCTTCCGGATTCAGCCGAGCACGGGCGTCATCACGGTTTCACGCACGCTGGACCGCGAGGCGCAGGCGCGTGTTGTGCTCTCCGTGATGGCCAAGAACGGTGGCAGCATCCGCGGCAACGACACCGACGAAGCCCAGGTCGTGGTCAGCATCCAGGACGGCAACGACCCACCCGTCTTTCTCCAGCCGCTGTACGAGGCCCGCATCAGCGAGGCTGCCCCAGTCGGTTCCCCGGTGCTCTCCGTGTCCGCGGTGGACCGCGACGTGCGTCCCAACAACCATCAGTTCTTTTACTCTATCCTCGAGGGCGACCCAAACAAAGTGTTCGGCGTGGACTCGCAGACGGGACTCCTACACACGGCGGCGCCGCTGGATCGTGAGTCCGTGCCATCGTACACGCTCACACTCGCAGCAATCGACCGCGGCAGTCCGCCACAGACCGGCACCGCGACGGTGCGTGTCACCCTCGACGACGTCAACGACAACGGCCCCGAGTTCGAGCCGGCCGATCTCCTCGGCTACGTCCTCGAGGACGAGCCGCCGTACACGAGCGTCCTCACACTCGCTGCGAGAGACCGCGACCTGGCGCCCAACGGAGCACCGTTCGCTTACTCGCTGGTCGGCGGAGCGCGTCGGAATCTGTTCGAGCTGGACCGCCAGACCGGAGTGCTCCGCACCACCCAGCGCTTGGACCGGGAGGCTACCCCGTCGTTGCAGCTGCTGGTGGAGGTCCAGGACAGCGGGAACCCACCGATCAGGGCACGGCACGGCCTCACGGTCCTGCTCGTTGACAAGAACGACAGCCCCTCGTCGCCGCGGTCTCTTACCGTCCTCGTCTGGGTCTACCACAGCGTGTTTGCGGGCGGAAAGATTGCGGACGTCCGGCCGTTGGACCCAGACGCAACGGGGGAGTACCAGTGCCGTCTGGAGAGCCGCGAGTCCGTGTTCAGCATCGTGAGCCAGTGTGACCTGCACGCATCGCGCTTGCTCAGTCCGAGCAACTACAGCTTTACAGTGCGGGGCAATGATGGCTACCACCAGGATGTCACGTCCACGGTGAACGTGCAGTTCAGGGTTTTCGACAATGCGACAGTGGAGAACAGCGTCTCGCTGCGCGTGGTGAACCAGTCGGCCGGCGACTTCCTTGGCTCCAGCTACGACCGGTTTCTGGGGCTCCTGAGGCAGGTGTTGGAGGTGAGTGTCTGGCGGATTGAGCTGCCGCTCGACGCGCTTGTCCTTGAGGCTTGTGCAGCACATCTTCAAACCAGCATCGGGATTATGAAAAGTGCATGCCAAGATGTTTCATCTTCCTAACGTTGTGGCAGCTGATGTTAGTCTGGATTAGTGGCCAGGCAAGATTGGTACCGTGACACGTGTAGAAACTCGTCTTCCAAGAAAGCATCATTTTCTCGTGTCGCCGTGCAGAGGTGCATGACTGCTTGAAGATCTAATAGTAAGTCTAGCAGTGTTGCATAGCCACGACAAAGCTAATGGCACTATCTTTCCCGGCTTCATGTGTACATGTAACACAGTTCATAGTTAATAAAAGTTACTAGGAATTAAGCATAGCCTACCCAGTTAAAAATACCCATTGGGTCCAATTGGATTTTCCAATTGGTACCAATTGCCAAAACCATTTGTGTTTTGGAACGCCCCGTTGGAACAAATGCCAATTGGTTCAATATTACCAATTGGCTTTTTTCCAATTGGCACCATGACCAACTGTGTATTGGAACGCCTAATTGGAAATATACCAATTGGTTTTTTTTCCAATTAGAATCGTGACCGACTGTGTTTTGGAACGCCCAATTGGAAAAATACCAATTGGTGTGGTTCTGAAACGGAAGCACACCAATTGGTATTTCTCCAATTGGTCTGAAATTCCCATTAGAAAACAGCCAGTTCATACATTTCTAATTCAAACTATAAAACAATTAGAAAGATAGCTAGCAAGAAAATTGGTTTTCTGGTGCATTAGCAATTTACACAGCCAAAGGTAGGACCCCCAAATGAAATTTCAAATTGAGCATGTCTCACATAAGTATGTCCAGATATGCCAGCTGGATATGTTCCTAACAAATAGGGTTTTACTATATACAAAACATTTGAAGCCTGTTCTGAAATAACACATTATTTTAGAAAACGCATCTTTTCTAGTTTTTTTTTATGAGCTTTTTGCAGTCACACTAAATGGTGCCAGATACCTTTGCAAAATATAAAAGAAACAAGCAAAATTATAAGGAGCACATTTATTACAATAGAAAAAGAAACATTAAAACCCAGTTCAGACCAAAAATGATTTTTTTTCTTCCTTCTACCGAAAGTAGGACGATTCCTAAGAGACGCTATGACGTCATTCAGCGTTTGTTTAGCGTTCCCCCCACAGTGATGTCATAGCGTCTAGAAGGAATTGTAACCTAGTTCGGGTAAAAGCAAAAAGAAATTTTTAAAGTGTTCAAACTAATGGTCGTCCATGGTTGCATCCTCCTCTTGAGCAGTGTCAATAGCAGCAGCTTGCAGCCTAGAACGAAAACAGGCAACAGAAATTAGTAACCCAGGAACGACTGAGATCCAGTGTTCCCATTCTTTTCCAAGCTGTGTCACATCACCAATGTCCTATGGTACTAGTATATGCATCTATGCAGCGTGACATGGGACCTCAAGCTACTTGAAGGGCACATTATTTACGAGTTTCAAGAATTTGTTTATATTAAGAAATTGTGCATTCGAAAACAGACATTTTAAACAAATTGTTCAGTAACTGCACTTTACTTTGTCTGAGCAAAAGAGAAAAAACACTAGAAGGAAAGCACTCATTTAGTTTATCAATATGCAACAAGTTAGGCCGTTACCTTCTAGCAGGAATGCCAGTCGGTATCATGACAGGGGTAAAACATGAAAGCAGAGAAATCAATGAAAGCTAGAGAATAATAAGGCTTCAGTTAGTATGGGCTTCTGAATTATGATAGTGATCCAAGGCTTGTCGAAAATTTTAAAAAGGATAAACCGCTCACAAGTCTAACACCTGGCAGCAGAAAGTTGCGTGTTGTCCATTCAATTTTTAGTTTTCTGCCATCTTAAGTTTCTACATCAAAATTAGTCCCTTTTTACATACCAAGTGAGAAATTTTATATTTTGTTATCAGCTGAAAGGGGATCCAAAGCTTTGCAGTCAGTCAAATTTGGGGGTTTTACATGCCAACCAACGACGAGCACCTGGCACGCCCCAGCGGAGCTCTGAGGATTAATTTGGACCACCTTGGCATCTTTTGACATGCAACCGAAAGCTCGGACACACGGAGCCTTCTCCGCAATAGGCCTCCGTCAAATTGCGGGCACCTCGGCCGGGATTCGGACCCGCCACCTGGGCATCCTAGGCCGGCGCTTTGCCTTGGAGCCACAGAGGCAGCTTAAGGCTGCGGTCCCACGGCGGCCATGACATATGACGCTTTCAGCACGTTTTCGAAATGCGATCGTGGCGTGTTCAAGCTTGCTAAAATTATGTGTTATATATCATCTTGTAGTGTACAACATTATCTTTTATCTGATGTAGGATTTGTTTTCCTAGTGCAAAAAGCTAATTCAGAGGGCACCCGCGAACATTGACCTTTTCGGCAAAACATGGTTTCGTAGTACAGTGGTACAGGGTGCACTATTGGAGCAATTTCTTTCTAATTTTAGAATGTTATAGAAGAAGAGTGCGTTCATTGTCAACGGAGGCCCTTTTTTCGTTTTTTATTTTATTTTGACAGATATTTACTTTAGAAAAATTGACTTTGCGGAAGCACTTCAGTCGCGAAGTTTTGGGCGCCTACTCGGACATTTTATTTGAAACTTTTTACATCAGTTTGTAATTATGGTCGAAAGAGTTACGCTAAATTTCATTGTAATATGGCTTAAACTTTTTTCGGAATGCTCACGTGAAAAGTGACAAAAACCGTTAATTTTGGCAAACTTCATTTGGTAGTACAGTGGTACAGCGCTTAGGGATTGGCACACATGAATAAAATTGTAGGCCCGCAAAGAAAAACATATTCTGCTTTGCAAAGCGAGGCCCTTTTTCTAAATTTCACTTTTGATTTTCCATAAAAAAAGTTTGAATATAGGTGAAATCACGTATTTGTTGATAGTCAAAAACGAGTATTTTGACCCCTTTTGGCAGACATTTAGGCCGATATTTTTAGTATTAAATGGAAATTACTGTTCCAGGTCCTGATTATTAGCCCACATTTTCACTAATCGAGCCTATTTATTAAAAAGAATCATAAAACACACAGAAAACACAAATTGGATGTCTGGTTGCGCCCTCTATGTGGCGGTGGTTGAAATGTGACTACGCGAGGTTCAGGAAACTGCCGAGGATGGCGCTGATTCCAGCTGTGGTTGCCAGCTTCGGAAACTGGTTGTACTCTTGGCTTCTTCCGTTTCTTGCAAAATAACGTGCTGGAAAACTTGGTCGAAACTCGTGAGGTCCTTTATAACACGGTACTTTCTGCTAATATAGCTTTTAGGAAGAATTTCAGTCGCTTTCATATTGTTAAACGATTTTTTTTTTATGCGAGGCTCCACCGGTTCAGTTTGCTGAATAAATTGTTCACGGAATCGATATCGAAGTTTCAAATTACCGAAATGCCAAAATCGCCAGTTCTGCGTAGATACGCAGCGTGACGCACGTGCTTCTGGTGCGTGTGCACGTACGTGTTTGCTGCGTAGTTCTTCGGTTGCTGCGAGTTTTCGCGTATTTATTGTGCACTGCTTACCTCCGTCTGCGCACGCATCTCATCCTTGTAACTACCCCTGCTCTGTTTGCCTAGAGTGAAGTTTGTGTCTGTCTTTTCGTTCGCTGACTAAGCTCGTGTCGGTGTCGGGAGGCACTCACTTGATCGAATGACGTTTTAGCGAACGCCCACGTTTCATCGAACGACACTTTAGCGAATAGTCGGACGCCGCGAAGCGGCGTTTTCGGGTGGGCCAAGTGAGTTCATATTTTTGTAATGAGTTGCCGCAGACTGTCGCCGCGAAGCGGCGTAAAGCGCAGCGCGACGGATGGGTTAACGCGCGCCCCCGTTATTCGCTAAAACGACCATTCGCTCAAATGTCGCCATTCGCTAAAATGTCATTCGCTCTTGTGATATGGACCCGTCGGTGTCCTTCCTACTGGCTGCTGTTCGTGTTTGCGTACCGTGTGTGTCGCTTTGATTACTAGGTCCCATGCTTATGGGGTGGAGCAAGCGGTGGGCGTCGCGCCAGGGGTGGGTCGTGATTGGGGAAACAGCTTAGCAGCCGACGCCGACTTCGGCGCGTTTCTTCTGCGCACGCGCGTACTGTCACTGATATCGCTACTTCGCGCCGTGACGATGCGCTGATCTACAGGCCGGTCGGCGCTCGCGTGATATTGTTGAAAATTCTCGAGCGTGTATTTACGTTTCGAAAGCCATAATAGAATTAAAGTGGACATTTGGCCGGCAGCCGGCATACCGTGGCTCTGAAAACAGATTGCTAGGAGTGCCCTCTCATTCGCTGGTTCCACGCTGGGTGCGCGCAGTCCGTGCTTCTGGCCTCCCCGGCCGCCCAAATGCGTTTTTCTGATGCTTGTTTTGTATTCAGTAAACAGACAATAGATTCCTGCTGATATTCTCCTTTCTAATCTTCACTCTTGACAACTGTTTAGTGTTGGAAGGAACTCCGTCAAATTTGACGATAATGCATGTGTAAGTACAACTGGAACCTCATAGTTGCAAGAATACTTTTCCTGGATTGTCTGCATTAGAGTGCCTCCATGTGCGCTTCGCGCATATGAAGGCTCCCTAGTCTGCACCTTTCTGATAATATGATCGGTCTCCATAAATTGCACTTCCCCGCTTCGGGAGCACGGCCAGCGGTGGTTCTCTGTCGGTCATCGAACCTCACACACGTGAAGCGTTGTCAAAGCTGTGATATACCGGGCGTTTTATTATTCTGTTTTGTTTTGTTTTGCTGAAAGAAATTATACTTTTAATATTCCCGGGGATAACATTATCGGCTGCGGCGGACGTAAAGGAACGAGCGTAAATTGACAGTTAGTGGCCTAATAAACTAATATTTGCCATTTGCGAACGCTGGAGAGGGGGCGACCTCCTCTCCCCCGTTCGCTCCGCTGAAGTGGAACAGGGTGGGAGGAGCTCCCACTTCGTTCTTGACCTGTCACCGACTACAGTTGCGAATTCCACTTGTCATTTTGGAGCGATGACGAGATAGAGCTGAGTCATGTATTGCGTTCTCTGAGATGAAGAACGCAATGCGCGCGGAGTTGCTCCACGTATGCACCAGTCACCAGTAAAAACGACCTGTCCTCCGAGGAGGTCGAGCGAGACGCCGGCTGACATGGGGGTCGGTCACCTCACCGTCACCACCGTCTACCGTGCCTTCAAAAACACGGGGCGCAATATGTTTCTGCAGTATAACAAAAAATTGAACAAACAAGGTGCAAACTTTCATTTTTTTCCTAAGTGTGGTTTGCAGGGCTGAACCGAATACAAAAACGATACGCCGTGCTGGGATGACGTCGACTACAATGGTACACGATCATAACAAGAGCACAAATCCTGCCACGTTATTTTGCTACAGTGATAAGAGCATATATATCTTTGTCCGCGATGCGGCAACAGAGACATTATTTCCAAATTAGAGTTCGAAGTTAGCCTTCGATGCTGGCACTGACCAACTCACTTCACTCACAGGGTGAAAACGTGAAACTTTGTATCATTCGGACAGAGATCGAAAAATAACACGCACCGCTTCAACTTGGACACCCCAAAATAATTAACTGTAGTGGATCGCACGCAAAAGCTTCGCGTACGCAATAAAATTGCCGGTCAGAAGTACGGTTCCGCAAACAAAATCAACATATGAGTCATCAAATTATGAAGAAAAACCAGGTGTGAGCGTGCCAAAAATATTCGACAATTATTGTTGTCAATATTTGTTTTTCTATCCACGTGCTTATGTCGCAGTGGAAAGCCGTGAAACTCCCTATAAAATTATTTTGGGCAGTGTTTCCGACGGTGCTCGCTCGATCGTAAAATGTCGCTTTGTTGCTACTTTGGCGAATCAAACAAGGAAGCCACGTTCACCTACAATGCCCTGTCCACAAGAAAGGAAATCGAAATTTTCGCTTCGTTTTCTTTTTTTTTTTATATTCTTCTCTTCTGCACGATATAGGGTATGAATTATTATCCTTCCCTGTACTCTCGCTGTGACGAACAGTCCGATAAACGAGTCACCCTATGACAAAGATGGGGGTCCCGAAAATCTCCTAAAATCGAGTTTGTTCTCAGAGACACATCCGTGTGTAAGAAAAACCGCGGCCCTCTCCACGAAGTACGGACATATTTGATAAATAGCGTTGACTTGAGGTTGAACTTTTCATTTGCTTTGTAAAGACAAGCGTGACGTCACGTGCGCATCCCACGCGACCCGACTGAAGTCTGAACTGGTGTACTATGTGTGGACAATAGGGCATTATTTTGACTTCCCGGCCGCGACGACCTTGGCGAGGGAGGACAGATGGGGGTCCCGAAAATCCTAGAATCGTGGTTTGTTCGCAGGGACACACACATCCGTGTGTAACAAAAAACGCGGCCCTCTCCACGAAGCTTACACAGGCATTGTTGTGTGACTACTGAAGATGCCTCCCGCAAGGGAGGCGAAACTGGTCAGAACTTCAGCTTGGGCGAGTTGGTTATTCATGATTCATGGAGGCGTTTATTCATGGAGGCGTTTATTCATGGAGGCGAAACGTCTAGTGAAATTGTTTTTTCCTGTTCTGTGAAGTCGGTGCTTTTATTTTAATTATGTTACCAGTCGGCCTGTGTGACCAGTGCTCATTTGAAGAATCGCCTTTGTCTTTTTTGAACCCTAACAAAAACACCCTCATAACATTTTTTTTTTTACTGTTCGGCTACGTTGGCATAGCCTATAATCGACATAATTTTTGCGAAAGCCTACTTTTATTTTATAATTATCTGTGACCATTTCTAATTGAAGAAGTGACAAGTATAATAATTATATTATGATTTCATATCAAAATTCGACGAACCGGGAGATGCGAAATTCGGTGAAACAGCTTTTCAAAAAAATATCCGGTGCCCGAAACTTGCGTATATTAAAATGTCTAACATGTGTATGTGTTCTAATACAGAAGATGAGTGCAATGTGGAAACTGAATGGCCTCACAAACAATTGTCAACGAGTTGGAATTTTTGATGAATTACCCTTTGTCGAGTCATCCTACTACCGATTGGCCTCTTCAATCAATTGCCCGTCGACAAATATTGTTGTTGGTTTATTTGCCATCTGCTGTGAGGGGAGAGTGTGGGGCTCGTCAAGCCGACATCTGCCAGCATTTTCATCACGCCTCCAGCGCCTGTACCGACTGACGCCGACGAGTTGGCCTAGAAATAAATACCCACGGACTATACTATGGCCGCTAAATATCTCTACGCGAACATGATTTGTTTCCAAAGGGGCACCCGCCTGTCGGTGCTTCTTTGAATTATACATACGTCACGGTCAAAACGTTCCGCAGCTAATGAGTGAAGGCCGACCAACCTATTTTGTCCAAATGTCCGTGTATGGGAGATGAGAATGCCACTGCGTCAAAGGCAAGACGTGTGCGAGCGTCGCTAAAAATAGAGACCACTATCGATGTTTTAGTATACATGGTTTCATTCTTAGTCAGAGCGCAAACAGAGGTTAGATGTCACGAAAACACATACACAAAGACAAAAAGCACTTTATCACGGCGCATTGTATGAGTTGTTATATTAGTGGGTGGAATCACCCAAACAAAGATAGTGAACGCCGTGGCGTTTAGGTGTTGAGCTGTTGGTGATGCTTGATCGGCGCAATGTGTCAGTCGAGCTCCAACTGAGGGTGATATGAGGCGGGGCAGCTCTGTGGTTTTACTTGTTGTGTTGCATAGTTAGTTTCGGCCGTCAGCAAATAGTGAAAAATATCTATCTACCTATCTCTCTCTCTCTCTCTCTCTCTCTATATATATATATATATATATATATATATATATATATATATATATATATATATACAAAGGCAAAAATGCGTACTGTCAGAGTTACTAATTCGAAGTTTACTACGACGTTTCGAGCGGGGACCACTCTTCATCACCTAATGAAGAACGGTCCCCGCTCGAAACGTCGGAATAAACTTCGAATTAATAACTCCGACAGTACGCATTTTTGACTTTATATATATATATATATATATATATATATATATATATATATATATATATATTTTACTAATACAATGTCTGGACATTTACACTTACCAAGTAACCATTTTCAGCTGTGATTTGAGACTGCGTTGCGCTTATCCCGCTCTTATTTATTTATTTTTTGTTTCTCTTGTTTCTGGCCTTTTTAGTATAGGCTTCCACCAGCTCGCTTGCGCGTGAACTCTAGTTTGTAAATTAGGGCGACACTATATAGGTTTGAAATCCTATACCAATTTTATTGCCATTTGGTGAGCCACGTACGAATTTTGAAATATATCTTTTCATCCAAATAATCGATTAGTAAATCGAATAGCGATTCGGACGAATTTACTACGGCGGGAAGAAGGAATTTGCAAATCTCATGGCAATTAGGAAATTTCAGCCATCCTTGGTTTCCGATTGGTCGCGCTCAGTAGCGGCTCCCTCCGCACAGAGTAGCCTCGAGTCAGAATTCGCGGAGTCTCTACTGACCGGCCAAAAAAGTGCGGCGCTTCAACTGCTCCCGCCCAGACGACTTGATGTATTTGTATACGCCCATGACATCGGCCGCGATCGGCGATTGAGGTTCCGTTAGCCGACGCAAGCGTCAGCGGACGTCTCATATTTCCATACTCTCATTTAACTACAGAAACAAAAACAACAACAAAAAAATCATCCAGTTCATGCTCACTATGTTCACCACTGACAAGATAGTCGGTAGTTTACGAGTTTCCGTGCAAAGCCGATCAAAACGAGGCACCAGATCAACTTTTACGGCTGCCACCAGGAAAGATCTGGCTTGTCGCGTTCCCTCAACGTCACTCCGAATATTGTTTGTGCCCCACGCACCATCCTCTTGTAGCAATATTTTTATTGTCCCCATGTGATTTCTTTTTTATGTTCTTACTGGTGTTTGATCATAATTCGGTCATTGAAATAGTTTTTGCTGCCGACCCTACCATTATTTTGACCCTCTGGCAGCAAAGGAATATTATGCCGGCATTACACACGAAATAAGAATGTAGACACTTCGTCCCATATCTCAAATTACATCACAACGTGTTTACACAACTGTAGTGCAGAGGTACGATGAGCAGGGTCTGAGAAAATATTAGTTTCAGTATTTTCAAAAGAGCGACGAAACAAAATAAAGAAAGGACCGCCAATCGGCAGCGCGTGCAAGCAGAGGCAGTAGTGACAGGAAGCGCGAGGTGTGTCTTTCGTACGGCCGGCATCAACTCACGCACTGTCCGAAGATGTACTCTGTTTTACTCGTAGGATTGCAACGCTGCGGAATGTAGGCGTGTGATTTCAGAAAGCGCGTCCTACCATTTCTACGCACGAGTGCTCCTGCAACCCAAGCATTGTATACAGTTACGTCCTCGCGCCCGTGCCTTGGCCAGCCCCGTACACAACTTATGCAGTATCGAAAAGGCATAGTTCAAAATTGACGGTCCCACTTTTCCATACCGCTTCAAAACCCCATCTCGCTCAAATCACTTGGCAGCCGGACAATTTTGGCAGGGGGCCTCAAGTTGGGGATTATCCGGTACATTGTCCTCCTAACAATGAACGTGGGCGCGACGCGCCAGAGGGTGAACACGTGAAAGGAGGGGCGTAAGAGTGGAGAAGGAAACTCAAGGTCGCAAGCGACGGGAAAAAGGGTTTCGAAATTGGCGCGCAGGTTTTGCAGCATTTGCTCATACGGACAGCCAACGCCGCCCTGGTGGTTCAACTAATGTTTTGTTCAAGATGGCCGCCGTGGTACCGCAGCCTTAAGGCTTTGCAGTGCGACCATTCTTTTCAACAATTTTGACTGCAAAGAACTATTCATTCTGTGCACACTGGATCTCGGAAAGGATACAATTGTCGTTATTTGCATGTGTGAGGCTAACATGCCCTTGATTGCAATGAGAACAGAGCTAGCTTTATTCTCACAGCTGTCCGAATTCAAAGGAATATTTATGATAGCATGCTAGCTGCATTCTGCACAATGGAAGCATTTAATAATTTACAAATATTGCAAGCAACACGTGGCAATAAAAAGGGTGTTAAGAGCAACCTAAAGAAAACAGCAAATATATTGAAGGCTCAAATACTGAATGAGGAAATAGTGAGACACTAGAAAACTGTTTGCTACAATGGAAAGCGTTTTACAATGCAATGTGTGCACTGCACGGCAAACTTTTTCCGTAACGCGGACGTGCGGCAACAGTTCCAAACATAAAAGCAGTAGAACAAGCAAACTTGGCTATAAGAACAGTTTAGCAAACACGGTTGACCGTGAAAATATTCAGAACTTGCTTCAAGAGTCTGAAGGACAAAGAGCAAAAACCCCGCTCACCGCAGCTGCCACGGGACGGAGTTGCTGGTTAATCCCAGCATGTTGTGGTTCCCCCAGGCTTTTCTTGGACACATTGATTGCAACAGGACATGTCAAATGTTGGTAAACTTGATGAAAATGTCACATTTTCACATCTTCCTGCTCGCATCCCACACACGTGTTCCCAGAAAAAACAAACACCTATTGGTGTCACTAGCGATGGGGCGTTCTATTTTTCAAACCAAAACTAAAAGTAAAAAAAAAAAAAAAAAAAAAAGAATTGCAAATTTAGGAAGCCATAAGATTAATAATAAAGTATTTATTTATTTATTTATACAGATATATATATAGATAAAGAGAGAGAGAGAGAGAAACGCAGAGAAAGGACAACAAAAAAAATGAATAGGAGTAATATGAGTTGGCCAGTGAGCAGATTCCTTTGTTGACGTTCCCCGCACCCTTGAAAAAAATTCCATATTTTATCCTAGAGTTTATTTTTGATTCAGAAGAGTAAGCTCACAATCTTTCACTGCAAAATTATTCTAGAGCTCCAATCTCCAAGAATCCAATTGGTGTAACTCTCCCAATTGGTTGCTTAATACCAATTGGAAAATTAATTTCCAATTGGAATGGCCAATTGGTTGATTAATACCAATTGGAATATATATTTCCAATTGGAGTGACCAATTGGAAAAATGCATTCCAATTGGAATGGCCAATTGGTTGTTTAATACCAATTGGAATATATATTTCCCATTGGAGTGACCAATTGGAAAAATGCATTCCAATTGGAATGGCCAATTGGTTGTCTTCATACCAATTGGATCCCACTGATACCAATTGGTACCAATTGAAATTCCAATTGGACTCAATGGGAATTTTTAACTGGGTAAGGTTCTGATAGATTTGCCTGGACTTCTGTTTATTTGACGCTGCACTTAGAACCTGCATCATTATTCCTAGAGCATGGTTTTTCAAGCCAGGTTCATAGAAACTCGGGGGTTACCTCAAAGGTTCCTTGGGGTCTTAAATTTCCTTAACTGTTCCTCCCTTTGAGCAAAGCGTTTTTGCAGTTTAAGCACTATTTTAGCCAACCTCAAGAACCCATTGATGCATAACTGTGAGCCAAACATTCCTAAGTATGTGCATTATTGTTTACAAGAACTGTAGCCTCCTGCATTCCTTTTTGTGTCAATGCTGCAAGAGTACCTTTGCAGTCATTTGAGATAGGCATTCCTCGAGATTGAAAAGTTTGAGAGCCCCTGGTTTAGAACAATTGGGATCAGACCCTAACAACAGCCATTGCGAGGCTTTCATCACCGCCGGTCGCATAGAAGGATTACCTTCGTCAACTCCGTCCAGCATCCCCATTACAGATTCGCCGCACTTCCAATCGCAGGGAATGGGCTCGCCAATCGTCTACAGCATGGCCGACGTCAAGGGACAGCTCCAACTCACCCTGGCTGTCCGAAAAAGCTCGGGTATCCTCGTGTCCCCAGACAAGGTGTCCCAGCGCCTCGAGGCACGCAGGGACACCCTCCAGTCTTCCCTCGCTAAGACAATTGTGGTCGGCTACGAGCCATGCGCGAGCTCGCCCTGTCGCCATGGCGGGACCTGCAGCTCTCGCCTCGACTTCCAGACGTCGCTCTCGATCCTCGACTCTGCGCAGCTCGTGTTCGCATCTCCCGGCGCCACCCGCTCCTTTGCATGCTCCTGCCCGGTTGGATTCTCCGGACTCCAGTGTCAAGACCAGCTTGATCCGTGCTCGCCGAGCCCGTGCTCCGAGGGATCGACCTGCCGGATCGACGCGGCCACAACCGTCGGGTTCCAGTGCCTCTGTCCGGAGGATCGGGAGGGCGAGCGCTGCGAGCGGCCACGGCGAAACAGCTGTGCCAGTGCCCCCTGCAAGAACGGAGGGAGTTGCCGGGAAGCGCCAGCCGGGTCGTTCTTTTGCCTGTGCCGTCTCGGGTTCAAAGGGTCCTTGTGCGAGCAGGCGGCGGACGGATGTCGGCCAAGCCGGTGCCGGAATGGGGCGACGTGCGTTGGCAATGGGCCTGCAGGTCAGAGTTCCTTCTTACCTTCACTTAGCCGGTTCGTCGAGACAACATTGGTTTTAAAGGGATAGCTTTATGTGGCAAGACTGAGTAAACCTTGCTCGCTCGTGTTGGCCACATTGTAGCAAGGCCAGGGGAGATGGTGTCGGCAGTGGAGCTCAGCTGTTTGTTTGACGTCATAACGCACATAACATATGGCATAGCGTCGGGGTAAGAGGGGGGGGGGGGGGGGGTGGGAGGGGGAGGTGAGGGTAAAAAATGTGCTAACGCTCCCCTCTCTCTCTCTCCCCTCCCCTCCCCCTCCTCAACACTCCAATGCATTGGGACAGGGGCTGCAAATGAAGGTGGGAACTGTGTATTAGTCAAACAATCTAGTCAGATTTCTAACGGAGTGGCATTTGAGCGAAATTGATGCAATGCCCCCATTAAAAAGGTGAACGGATGAAGAAGTGAAGTCCTTCATACATTCCCAATTCCTTTGCCGCATATCACATTGCATGTCATTCTGATAGGAAGTGCCATTCGTTCAAAACCTCGTCAAGTGCAGTTACTTTTTCATTGCGCTAGATAAAATGTCTATATTCGGCGTCTGACTATTTTTATGCTACATTGTCATGGCTAGCGCATGTTCCAGTGTTCCATCGCCGCCCAAGTTACTTGCGCAAGACCTTGTGCGAATTAGACGCAAAGCGAAGCCACGCGATCTCTCGGCAGTGTGGGGCTGCGGCATTGTGGAAACCACGCCAGCTTCTACAACGTAGCAGAAAATAGTTTACGCCGAGTGTAAAAAAGGCTTGTTTGCACACTTGCGTTTACTTATGACCAAACTCTTGCAATCTTTAACGATGAGAGGGTGCACCTACAATGAGATGGCCCTGGAACCGCATTTCACCAGAGTGAAGACTTTGCGGTATTTGCGAGGTCAATTGTACATACGTACTATCTACAAAAAATGGTTGTTTAGAGCGCTGTCATAAGCTTTTTGACCCAATAAAGAAAGAAAAATCCCCAAAAAAAGAAGTAGGGAATACATAGAAATGTCCAGTGTTGTTTCACGGCCACCCGATAGATTGGGCCAGCGTGTTCTTTTGTCATAAGATATCACGAGAGGCTCGGTTGTAAGCAGCCATAATTGTGTAACCCAGCCTTAAAGGGACACTGACACCCCCCAAAAAATTTTTTTTATTTTTTGCCAGGCGCTTCATTATGGTGTCGGAGGACTGCCCAATTAATATTTTGCAACAGAGTAGCGTATTTCTTTAATAAAGCCAAAAGACGCAACTGCTCGAAACCGAAACCGAAACCGAAACCCGACGGAGGTCGGAGAAGTGGAGAGAAGAGGGTGACTGGCGGAAGTCACGTGGCTACACCCGACCGTGCGTTTTTTTTTTTTTTTCCTCCTCTTCGGTAGCAGACGACACTACATGCGGCGTGCGGGAACTTTTGCAGTTATGTTTGTTCCGCTCGTTGTTATGTACTCCAAGATGAGTTGTTTTGTACATTGATGAGTTGGAGATGAGTAGTGAGTGCCCGTGGTGAATTTCCATGATCGGCTCCGAAAAGAATAAACCCAAGATGTTGCGTGAAGAGCTGGCTCACATGTCCTGCATCCGAAAAAAAAGTGGCATTGTCGAAAGATCAACGGGATCGGGACCAATGGCTGGCTGCAATTCCTGTAGAACATTTACGGGCACCTCGGAAAGCGGACGCTACCTGATTTATATGCTCCTTGCATTTTGTGGAAAGTGATTACATTGAGTTCGCAGGTGTCAAAACGGAAATCCCATACCGTTTAATTCAGCGAAGTATCGTCCACAACATTTGTTTGTTATTTTTTTTTTTTGTTTCTTCAGTGATGATTGTAAAAAAAAAAAAAAAAAAAAGAAAAAGATATGTAAACATCGAAAAATGTTTGAAAAAAGAAAAAAAAAAAAACACGGGGATCGAACCCGGTCCTACCAGGCGTGAAGCGGACGTCTTGCCCACTGAGCTACTGGGGCATCTCGTTTCTGCTGGATCTCTTTCCTTAGTAATAATTCAGCCGGTAAACTAAGTTGGAAAGTTTGCTGTCGATTTTTCTCTAGCAACAGCACTCCCGGGTCGAAGTCGGGAAGCAACACGCTTTGGGAACATTCGCACCTAGTAAAAAAATCGTACGCGTGCATATTCAACTCGAAGTAGACACGTCGTGCTTGACGTTTGCGCGAGCGTTGTCTTCAGCCACGAGAAGGGAGCGACGGCTCGGCGACGTCTTCGTGCAAATCGGCTTGGTGGCCGGGCGTGTCGTACGGGATGAAGACCAATTCTTTTGATCAGTCCCAAATTTCTCTTTTAACGGTAGACAGAATTCGCCGGTACCGCGAACGACAGTTCTGAAATATACAATTTATAATTGTAAGTCCCACGCCCGTCGTCCGCTGCCATCGCCGTCCCCGCGAGTCCCACGATACGCGAAACGACGAACGCACAGAATGCTTCCGGTTGTTTGTGGAACTTTTTTTTTCAATCAACGTATTTACAGCTTTTTAGAAGCCACAAAAAATGGGTTTCATATTTTTTTCTATTTTTAATATTGAGTGTGTGCCTTCAGTAACCCACGACTTTGATTAAATTTGGTGGTCGCATCGATACCTTAGAAAACGGCCCGTGACCGCGAAAAAGAGAGTGAGCGAGACTCGAACCGGCCAATTCTTGATCGGCGGTTTTCGGGCGGAAAGAAACCGAATTTCGAGCCGCAAATTCTGTTCTGGGTAGTTGAGCCCTCATATGTCACGTAAAACTAACAACCTCGGCGAGCATAAATACCCTGTCAGTGTCCCTTTAAAGCTAAGCAAAATTTTTTTTTTTTTTGCCGACTAATCTTTGGTTGCGCTTCACAGGCTACCACTGCCTGTGCGAGCCGAACTTCTTTGGCCGCCACTGCGAGAAGTCTACGTTTGGCTTCGAGCCCTACTCCTACATGGCCTTCCCGTCGCTCAAGCCCAGCACCAACGACATCTCGGTCGTGTTCGCTACCAACCGGAGGCACGCACTGCTCGCCTACAACTTTGGCGCCCAGAACGGGGGGCGCTCAGACTTTGTGGCCCTGGAGATCGCCGATGGGAGGCCCACCTTCTCGTTCGGTGGTTCCCGCACGGCCGTCGCCAAAGTGGCGCTCGACCGGGATGTCGCCGACGGAAATTGGCACAGGGTCACCGTCATCCGCAACGGACGGGTGCGTTCTTTCGTGCCTCTGTGCATGTGCCGTATTTTTCGGACTGTGGTTCGGAGGAGCGGGTTCTAACAAGAAACAAGGTTTTTTTTGGTGCAGACCATACATGGTTTGCATTAAAAAATTCTTCTATGCAGCCCACCTTGAAGTACCTGCTTTATTAGCACACAGAGAAACTTTTATTCTATAGAAATCGTCACTAACACAACCAGTGGTTCATGAAATCCGTAATGTCTCGTCGAAATTAATGTGAAAAACAAATTCTAGCATAGTCTGCACCTGTAGACAGTCCCCACCACATGAAATTTAGACTTTCTGACATGAATAGTTTGTGGTCTATAGTCCGGGAAATATGGTAATGTTTGTATCCCGAAGCCAATCTCTTTTGCTGGTTTTTGTTTATCATGTTTATGATGTACAACAAACTACAAAAGTGTATATTATCAGAAACCTTTGGCTTTCTTAAAGGGCTCACAGTTAGAAACAGACTCTCTTTGTGATCACTGACCCGGAAATTCAGAATGTCGTACGAATGATGTAGGTACAGCGAAAATAAACTGTAAAGCAGGCCAACCAATACAAAGTTGTCACTTTCTTATGTCCTAATTGCTTGGGAATTGGTCTTTAATATGTGTGGCTGGCAGAACAGACGAAACGCGAAGTGGGCAAGGCAAACTTTCATAGTTATGGTAATGGGATCGGAACGCACAGCAAAAAGAAGAAAGTGTAATCCAAACCAATCAGAACACAACGGAAATTTTACCGCCGTCGATAACGTCGGACGATAGCGTCTTAGTGGGACACGCACCTGTAATGCCGCACTCTGTCTCCAGGTGGCCTCGCTGTCCGTGGTCAGCTGCCAGGACCACGGAGAACTCTGCGAGGAGTGCTCCCACGCCAACTCCAGCTGCTCTCTGTCTGTCACGGGACAGGCCGGGTGAGTTTGCGGCCACGCAACATTTTCTCAACTTCCACAGACGAGAATGCCTGGCGCACACATCGAATGCGTTGACGTATGTGCAGCCGTACGGTGTCCTTCGGCACAAATTTTCTACAGGTGGTACGCACGAATGCAAGTATGAGCACGCTTTTTGTAAGTACCTGGAATCGCAGAGGAAAGAAATGAGAGCAACGTACGCCTAGTTCACAAACTTTCATTAGAGCGTGATCAAGTGTGTCGCAAGAGCTTGTGACCACTAGTAGAAGTAGAATGCGTTTATTAAGAAAAATGGAAAACCAAGATAGCTTGCCTTATCTGGCTGGGACAGGAGATGGTGGTTGGTGGGGCGGCGGGGTGAGATTATGTGTTGTGTTAGGTTTGCTAACGCGACATAGTCAAGGAGCGAATGACGAGAGAACACCATCTGTCGGTTGAACTGGAACACTTCTGCCGATGCACCTGTCGGAAGCGTTCCAGGGCAACCCCGTTTTTGCCGTCGAACGCCACTAAGTGCTAGTAATCGGGTCAGGCCGCGGTCCTAACGAGCATGTCGTCTGTTCCAGGACTCTGAGCTTGAGCAGCCAACCGCTGTACATCGGCGGCTTGCCCTCGGTGGAGCCCCTCCTCGAGCGCCCCAGCCAGGTCTGGGCGGACGACTTCGTGGGCTGTGTGCACAGCGTGGCTGTGGACGGGCAGCCGCTGGCGCTGGAGCGGCCCCTGCGCCAGCAGTACGTGGCGCGCACGTGCGGCCGCAGGGGGGACCCTTGTGCCACCGGGGGCTGCAGGGGTGCGAACGCCTGTCGGGACCTCTGGTCGGCGGCCGGGTGCACGTGTCCCGGAGGAATGCTGGTTGCGCAAGACTGTGGCCAGGGTGAGAATCGCTTGTCCTCTAGTTAGCGGGGGCTCTCAATCTTTTCAATCTCTAATGGTGAATTCCACTCGTAGATCTGGAGCGCTTTCCAAAATCCGCGAGGGAGGCAAAATTCCGCTCCGTGGGACCCGCTCCGAATCGACGAGGGGAAGATAAACTTGCATTTTTGGAGCGACCTCCCCCACACCCCTTCCACCCTTTCTCCCTCCGCCGTACAAAATGGCCGCTGCTTGAACTTGACCAGCCCACCAACGCCTCAGCCGGCGGATCTTTCCAACGACCAGTGACGACTGTCACTGCTTAGCTGCAGAAGGAGGTGATGGTCGGATAAGTAGCTAATTACATGGGAATATATAAGATGCTCCATAATTTCGCATGGTAAACTTGTTAATGAAATTGGTGTATATATAATTCGAGACATGTTTTTTATTACCAGATTTAAAAATTTGTAGCACTTTCCCAAATCTTCAATCTGCCGGAAGGTACATTAGCTCTACAGATTGCTTGAAAATGAGATAGAGCAGATGGCAAGATATGGTTCGGGTTATCTTCCAAAAGTTGGGGACATGTCGTCTACGCCAGGTGCAGAGCTTGGGAGTCTCAATAATTGCCAAAATGTCTTCTTGTGTAAGGGTGACAGGTTCGCATGATGCAGTTGGGGAAACACAAATTGGATCACACAGCAAAGGAAACTATTCCTTAGTGGAAACAGATACAAAATACTCATTAAAGGTGGTTGCTGATTCATGGTTGGAGAGCTCCGGTCCTTGCGCATCATAATTCTTAGGCAAAGTTTGCTCCTGTCTAGGACGGATGGTCTTCCAAAATTGTTTGGGGTTTGTTTTTAAAAAACTTTAGGTCACTCATGCAATATTTATTTTTCGCCTTTCTAATTTCATATTTGTACTTTTTGCAGCACTGATTATATTTTGACCAGTCCATAACTAGATGACTTAACTTCGCTCTAAAAACAGACGTTTTTTCTTATTACATAGCCTTTTTAATCAGTAAGTAAACCATGGTGGTTCAGCATTCATTTTTAGCACAATTTTCGGAATGAAAGTAGACTTTAGTCTTTTAATCTCTATTTTCAACATATTCCAGTTTGCCTCAAGCAATCTTTTGTTAAAATTCTTTAAGTACTTGGATGCAAAACTTTGAAAAGAGGCAACAAGAGCTTCCTTGTCGACTTAATTCTTGGTGCCGTAGCTCTAAACTCAATCGAGAGTGTCATTTCAACAAAAACAATGTTATGGCCACTAATTTTACCAAGAATATCAACTGACCTAATATTGTAAGGAGACAACGTAAACACAAGGTATAGTATAGCATAGTTCCCTGTAGGCTGAATAATGGCTCCATTAAAGGTAAAATGCTTTCTATATCCAAACAATTAGAGGCTTCTACTGCGTTTGAACATGCATTTTCAATACGCCCTTCGTTCCAGTTAACACTAGCGTAGTTAAGGCCCGTTCACACTCTTGCGACCGAGTACGACTGAGAGAGACGAGATCTCTTACAACTTCTTAAATGTTTCTAGAATGAGGGAACACACTGACATTGTGGCGCCATCTATGCGGTGACCCTAGAACTGCATTTCACAAAAGCGAAGGTTTTGCGGGATTTCCGAGGTCAAATGTGCGTAATACCCATAGAAAGGCTCGTTTATAACATTGACAAAAGCTTTTCGAGCCAAAAGAGAAAGGATATTGCGCGAGAAATAAAAAAAAATATGCCAGACCGCCGAGTTTACACTGCTTCCCAATAGATGGCGCCAGTGTGTTCTCTGGTTTAAGAAGTTTTAAGGAACCCAGGTTTAAGAGGTCGCAAGCAGTTGCAAGAGTGTGAACGGGCCTTAAAAGTCCCCTCCTAACATAATACAACGATCCGGGTAGGAACATTTAATAGATTCAATGCATTCAAACAATTTCTCTGAAAAGCCCCCATCTCTTCCCGGAGGTCGATAACATGCATCGATAGACGGCTCAGATCTGCTAAAATGGTGTGGGAAAACACTTCGCTTAGAAGTAGGCTTAGTCGAGGAACCTCGGGCGCTCGGGTACTCATAAATGCTCCAAAAAACTGTTTCTGTGTGTGTGTTTTTTTTTTAGTTTAAAGGTGTCAATGACGAGCGGCCAGAAAGAAGGACACTCTTCCCAAATTTCTTCTTTCTTTATGAACAAAAGGGAGACCCTCCTTCTTTCTACGGGGAGTAGCTCAGAGACCTATTCCTGTGGGGAGGGGAGGAGAGAAGGGTGTGAGAGGGAAGGGGATCGATGGTAACTGGGAACCATTTTTTTTCCCCGGCCATGGAACCATGAGCCAAGCACTTCCTTGTGTACAGATTATTGTTTACGTGATCTGTAGGCGTGTGCACTGTTTGGGATAGGGGTCTCTCACCATCGACCAGTTTGAGAATATTGACTCTAGTCTACCGTTGAAACGTAAGATGCGTCTGTTGGCATTATCACGGGTATGGCAGAGGTATCAATCTTAGTGCAGCTCCTTTATTGCACCCATTGAATAATAGGGTTTGGTGGCAATCTTCGAAAGTGAACATTGTCTTTTTTTTTAGTTCTGACTTTAAGATTGCAATCACGGTGCTAGTGGTCACAAAGGTATAAAACTCGGGCTGCATCAGAGGAAGAGGAGCGAAACTGAAATGCCACGCGGTCACCCAAACTTGTAAAAGACGGCGTGCTCTGCTGGTTTTACTGCACTCACCCAGTGGCAGAGCTGCATCATATTATACATTGCGAGTGATAGATTGTCAGATTTTATGGAAACTAGAGTCAAGCCAGATCTGGAAGGGCCCAAAGGCGTGGTTTGTTTTACAGAGCTTGTGTGGTCTCCCGGGAATTTCCAGTGAGGTTTATCAGACGCAATAAGCATTCTTTTTATCGGGTTCCTGCTGCCTCGTATTGTAGCAGATGGTGAAATACTGACACAAAGCACTTGCTTCTGTTGCAATGGCCACGGAAGCGACATAGCAGAGTTGAAAGCACTCGTAGGAGTACTCCATTTGATTAGTTTCCTGTCTTCTTTAGGATACAGGGAGTAAATACTGAGAAGAATTGGGTTTTTCTCAAGAGAGTCCTTAGCATACTGTCTCTTTATTAAAGCGCAGCTCTTAGGCACCAGTTTCCAGCTTGAGCGGCGTCGCTGTGGCCGTCCGCGTAACCGCTCATTGCATTATGGGACATTCCCATAACGACGTCACGTGTGACGTCACCAGGGTCATGGGTGACGTCATAAGGTGCCTAAATTTAGTGGGAATATTTCCCCGCTAAATTTGGAGGAAAAATTTCCCACTAAATTTAGCAGGAAAATTTTCCCGTTAAATTTAGCGGAAAAAATTCTCCACTAAATTTAGCAGATAAATTTCCCCACTAAATTTAGTGGAAAAATATCTGCGCTAAATTTAGCGAAAAAATTTCTGCGCTAAATTTAGCGGAAAAATTTCCCCACTAAATTTAGCAGAAGAATTTCCCCGCTAAATATAGCAGAAAATTTTCTCTGCTAAATTTAGTGGAAAAAATTCCCCATTAAATTTAGCAGATAAATTTCCCCGCTAAATTTAGTGAAAGCTTTTTAGCTAAAAGAATTCCTCATTAAATTCAGCAAGAAAATTTAGCGGGAAATTTAGCGAAAATTTTCTGCTAAATGGGGGGGAGCAGAAGAGGAGGGGAGGGGGAGGAGGGGCATACCTTCCCCTAATCCTCCTCAAGAGCTGCGCTCTAATTCGTCATTACAGAGAATTGTAAACGTCTTTCATTTTTTTATGAACTGGAAGTGTGTGGCACTTTAGCATGTACCCCCATCCCCGGTAAGAAGGAAGTACTAAAAAATTGGCTGCATGTTTGGTCATTTTACCATGCACGGTTAAATGCGGTAGCTTTATAGGGCGGGTGGTGGGTCTAGTTCGGGTGGGGCCTTGAGTAGGATTACTTTTAGTCTTTTAGTGCCTTAGGTGGGTGGTGCACTTAGTTTAGGTGGTGCCTAGGGCAGGGTTTTGTATGGAAACAGATTATGACACACCATTCTCTCTTCGTGGCGCTGCGCTTCCTTCCAGCACCACCTGCAGATACAAAGCCTTTGCGCTGAATTTTCTGGGTCACCAAGAGAGGGGAGGCGCGCTTTTCTGCCCTTTCCACTCCTTCTCGTTCTGCACGCTCCTTCTACACCACCTGTTTCTGCTCCTCCCTTTCTTGCCCTTTCCATTTCCCTCTGCTCTATGTGCTTTCTCACACCATCTGCTTCTGCTCCTCCTGATCCTAGTCCCTGCATGTTGGGTCCGTAGCTCAGTCAGCAGCGCACTCGGCTTCCATGCCGGTGACCGGGGTTAAATTCCTGGCACCGGTTGCAGTATTTTTTTTTTGAGATCGTTTAGCGGTTACGGTTTGACTGACCTACACATTTTGTGCTTACGCGGCTCCTGAGTTTGGTTGGCCCACGAAGTTACCGCTTTAAAAGCTATCCTTAGTGGTCTTTCTGCATGTCAGGTGTTCTACAACACGTCCAGGTGTGTCTAAATTGCATGGGATGGCCAGGGTTCATGCGGGTCCTTGAAATCCTTGAAAACCCTTGAATTTAAAAGTAGCATTTTCAAGGCCTTGAAAGTCCTAGAGTTTTTACAGATCCTTGAAAGTCCTTGATTTTCGAGTTTGACGACAACATTTAGCAGATGTTTATGAACGCCTGGCCACACTGGAATCAGTTTTGGTTCCGAAGGGCATAGCCAGATCCACATCCAATCCTCTCCTTCATGTTATTTCCAGTACGAGATCAGAAGTTGCCGACGTAGCTCGAACGTAAACTGGTGTGTAATGTGTGCAGTCAGAATTACTGCAGCAACTGCAAGTGAGAAATAATGCCAGGAAAATGCAAGTTCCAACGCTCGTGGCTGAGCAATGACAGTTATAGTCACTGGATTGCACCGGACACGCCGAATCCAAATCGGGCTAAATGCAAGCCTTGCTCAAAAACGTTCGACATCGCTGCTATGGGAGAGTCGGCGCTGAAAAGTCACATGAAAAGCGCCAAACACGACGGGAACGGGAAGTTGGCAGTGAGTAACCCGATCAAGAACTTCTTGGTGCCCTCTGTAGATGAATCATCCGTGAACCCAACGTTCGTGGATCCAACGCAATTACAGTCGTCGGGCTTGGACGGTGTGTCCAAGAGGCGACTGATGCAGAGATTCTGTGGATTCTAAAAGTAACTGCGTCGCACTATTCCTACAAGTCCTGTTCACAGACAAGTGACTTGTTCAGAAGAATGTTTCCCAACAGCGAAGTCGCTCGAGCCTTCTCCTGCGGAGAGCAGAAGTCTTCGTACGTCGTGTGCCATGGTCTCAGACCCTTTTTCTTATCTTCTTATCTTCAATTGGCAGGTCGCTGTGGAAAATATGAAAGATATTTCCTACATCTCACAGCGAATTGTATGTAACGCTGTAAACAAGGCAGGTGGCATCTTGAATGTACAAATCACGAAGGAACTCAGGACGTCCGTGGCTTCTGCAAGGCATCATTACCGTGCTTTTTGGGAAGCCAAGAAGAAGTGGGAGCTTGAAGATGCAAGGAAGGTGAAAAGGCGCTGCATTGACGAAGAAGTTCAAAGATTGAGAAAGAAGAAGAAACTGGAAGTAGCTGTTGCTGAATTGACGGCTTCAGCAGACAATTATGCAGAGAAGGCAGAAGCCACGAGTGACCTCACATGGACCATGAAATCCAACAGCCTCAGGAAGACTGCCAAAAGCAAGGCACAGGAAATTCGGAACATTGACCTCGAAGTCCAGAAAAAGCAATGTGAACTAACATGAACTTTGGACGAGTGCTTGTTTGGTGTATATTTTTTGTTCAACACGTGAAACATGGCAACGTGTGTTGTTGTGTATGTGCTAATTTGAATCTAGCATACAAAAAGGAACGCCCTTTAATATCTTGTCTCGTGCAATAAATATTACATTTTTAACGCATTTAGAATTGTGTTTTGTCTAAGTAAGGCTCTCAACATGGTCCTTGAAAATATCCTGGCTGGGGCTTGAAAGTCCTTGAAAACCCTTGAATTTTTGTCTTCGAGGCCAGCATGAACCCTGTTGGCACATTCCTATGAAACAATGGAACAATAACAATAATTTGTCTCTGTTGGGTGAAATTTCTAGGTACAATTAACAGCATTCCTTTGCAGCATTGGAACCGTACTGGCTCTCTGGGGGCTCTTTCCTGGAGCTGGTTCCTCAAGAGAAGCACCGACGAGAGGCACTGGTTCAGCAGCGACGGCGGCAGCAGCAGCAGCAGCAGCCCCAGCCCCAGCGCGCCAGCCGAGACCTTCCGCCCAGCAAGGCTCTGTCCCTGAGGCTTCGTACCCTTGCCCAGGACGGACTACTGCTACACGTAGCCACTGAGAGGGACCATACACGGCTACAGGTAAGGCTGCACATTTGGCAAAGTTTTCATAGACTAGAGCATACTGAATTCTGGGAAGAATCACAACGATGGAAATTTTCTTTCATTTCATTTGGCTTTGCTGACAGCACAACATTTTGTCAGCAGCCATTTAAACATTGCTGTATTGAAAGATGTCTTTGAGACATTTCGTTAACTCTGAACTGTAAGCAGTCGGAAGGTCTAAAGCAGGGTTTCTCAAACTTTTTGGCCTCACGGAAACCCAGGAAGCCTCAAAAACTGCCGTGGAACCCCCCTCCATATTTGCCGACCGAGAAGCAACAGATGCACAATTGCAGGCAATTTTGCTTGTATTGCTTTGCATATATCCCCACCATATCAGTCGCGACATCAGTGCAAAGTGAGATGAAGGCGCTTTGCATGCCTGCCGCGCAGCCTGCGGCACGGGGGGGGGTTGCAATTTGGGTGTTCGCGGAACCCATGAGACCAGCTCGTGGAACCCCTGTGTTCCCCGGAACCCAGTTTGAGAACCCCTGGTCTAAAGTACTCCTTCTTAAATGGGGGTCAGCAGACCCTTTGGTGTCTCTTAAGGTCTCTGAAACCCTCGTCCTTCAGTCAAACCAAGCAATGACACTTTTTTTTTTATTGATCTGGGCTGTTCCACAAGGTTAAATAGACCAAAGCATGTGCACCGGATGGGTAGGGTTGATTTTTCTCCGTTTCAGAGCTCCAAAGCTGGTTTGTAAAACATACAGTCGCCGACCGATATTTGAGATGCCGATGATTCGGACTCGTTCTATATTTCGGACCTAAATTAGGAACCGTGACCTACTTGATAGAAATAGTGCATATTCACGACCAATGTTTCGGAGAGCTTGAGGTACGAAAGTTTGATTTTTCGGACAAAATCGTCGTGAGTGATCAGTGAGAAACACCACCGAGAAGCGGCCATTTTGGATTTTATGTTGGCTGCACATGGACTGGCTTGGTTTGGCAGTGCTACTTAAATACCGCTTAGTCCTACTGCTAGGTGACGCTGTACAACTTTTTTTTTCTCTAGCTGCCCGTCATTATCATTATCATTGTTGTTTCCAGTTTTCTTTGTTCATTTGCCATTGCAGTCATGGACTTGCACCTCTTATCTCGACTCAGTGAATCGTGTTTTCGGACTCGCTGGCTTGGACGTCATTGTCCCATCTGTTCTTCCGTCACCGCGATCTGTTGCTAAGAAGCACAGAAAGTACTCGACCATAACGCTAGAAAAGAAGGCAGCGATTTTCAAGCTAACAGAAAGTTGCCGAACACAAACGGAGGCATAACCTAAAACAAGGCGCGCAGGCGTAAGCTGAGCAAGGCACTATTTACGGCATTTTAAAGCCCGCTTATTTGTAATAAAGGCAAGTTTTTTAATCTGCTCATTTTTCAGGCTGGTCTATTATTCGTAAGTTTTCTCGGCCCCTGCGAAGTCCGAAAAATTGGTTGGCGACTGTAATCCCTTTTTCTTCACTTTACCCTTTTGTCATTGTAGTTGTTCAATACCCACCCTCCCCCATGGTGGATGGCGTCCCCCATCACTTATATTGACCCAGAACGGGTCCCCGAAACATCAGTGGTTGAGAACACATGGTCTAAAAAAACAAAAAAAACATGGTTCTGAATAATAAAATTAAGGTGTCAGAAAAGTGGGGCGGGGGCTGGCTGTGGAGGCATGAAATGACTTCACTATGTTGCAGCTTGTGATCTGTGGGAAAAGCTCCGCCCCCGGCATGTGCTCATTGCCTTCCATCATGCTTCGGCTTTGCATGCTCACGGGAAGCCGAAGATTTATTGAAGGCTTCTACTACAGATATTTCATGTTGTATCAGGCCATAAATGATGCACCAGGCAGAGAGTATGTTTATGTATCAGCTGAGAGGTTGCTTTCTTTTAGTAGTGGTTTTTTCAAGAACTCCATTGATTGAAGGTTTGAAATTCGACAAAACATGCCTTTAGTTGTCAATGCAAAGCGCAAGTTTGTCTGCCTCGTTTGCAGGGGTTGTGGTGACGTCAGAACGCCAATCTCTGATTGGCTCTGATTGAAGGATTGTGGGTAGACTTCAAGGCAGCCTGCTTTGAGGTCTACCCATCTTTTGACTAGAGCCAATCAGAGCTCGGCATTCTGACGTCATCACAACCCCTGCAAAGGAAGCAGACGAACTTGCACTCCGCATAGAACCCTCTCAAGACCCCATCGAACAACACTGGCTGTTGCCGTTTCTTGGGCACAAAGCATATGAGTGGATGCGAGCCCTTGCCAAACGCTGGCACAGTGCGCTCTCTCGATATGAGCTGAGCCAAGTTCACGTCGAACGCTGACGCGGCCCTTGTGTCTAGTACGTGACCGTGACCGGAGTGCACGGCCAAACAATGGCAGACTCGGATAACTGGCCGAGCAGGAGCTAGACGGCGTGCACTTTTGAAGAGAGCCTATTGAATACCTTTAAATAAAACTTCAACGTTGACAGTCTTTTTTTTTTTTTTACGTTTCGATAGAATACTTTTTGTCAAACTCAAAGGGACTTGGAACTTTTATTTTTCTTGCTTCGTAGGTTTCATATTCCACAGTGCCTTGAATCCTTGCGGAAACATGTCTCAAGCTTGCATCCATCGAACACATGCCTTTCTTTTTGTGCAGCTGGCGGAGGGCCACCTGGAGTACCTGTCTCAGAGCGGCCAGCAGGAGCCGGTGCAGTGGCGCCACCCCGCGCGCGTGTCGGACGGCCATTGGCACCAGGTGGTCCTCAGCCGCACCCTAGAAACCGGTGGCGGGGCCGTCAGCCTTACCGTGGACGACCAGCAGCGCCGAGTGCCGACCGACGCGTCTCTCCACGACTTCCTCGATCCTTTCCTGACGTCCTTCACCATCGGAGGGCGCTGGGAGCAGAACGCCGTCTCGGCGGAATCTCTTCCAGGTTAGACTTAATTCGACTCTGTTGATTAGCAGCAATGCGCCTGGTACCCCAAGCAGCCGTTTGCTTCAGGGATTGTTCGTTTTTCTATTTTGGTTCTTGGAATGTTTTATGTACATAGTCATGGCCATAAGGACATGGTCATAAAATTCTCTAAACCTCCAGGCAACATGCACATGACTCAGATGAACGTCCCGGTGCCGATAGGAAAGGAAAATAGGAAAAGCTTTGGTTCCTGACGAAAGAAGCAACTTTGGAGGCAGTTCAATGGGGGCTGCATTCTGAGTCACCACACAATAAAGCTGTTGATAAAGATCTCTTTCCAAGAAGCTTGGGTTTTCTTATTTAGGTGCAGCTCCAATTTGGGGGTTTTCGGTTTTCTCCGATTTCGATAAAACCGGTTCAGGGTGACACCTTTCTGGGTTTATTGGTAAGTACCGAAAAAACGAAACCCTATTTTTGACCCACGTTAGTGAATCTTTTCTCCCTCTTTTGAATTGTTTCGTGGTCCCGTTGACGAAAAAGCTTTATGCAGTGGCATGGGTATGGTACCCCATAAAATTTGGTTTAACATGGCTGTTGAACCTGCAGGGATCTTGCTAATGATTAAATCAAACGGGCACAAGCACTCAGATCATATCTACCGAGTTGGATGCATAGTGTTAGGCAGTAATTACCTTAGCACAGTTGTGCTAGGAATGTGAGGTAACAATATGATGGACTAATATTGCAATTGATAGTATTGTACTTGTAGGTACGGGAAAGCTTTAGAAGCTTCAGTGTAACACATACTTTTGGCTTATCTGTTTTGTTTGCGCATTCAGCGTGGAGTACCGTATTTACTCGCATAATGAACGCACTTTTTTCCTGAAAAATTGACACATATTTGGGGGGAGTGCAGTGTGTACCTCTCGGCGTGCACCTAGCTGTGCTGTTCTGTTACAAATTAAATAAACACATTTACCCAGAGTATGTGAAATTAGGCCTTATCACTTTCACAATATCATTGTTCGAAAGCGAACCACAGATGACGGCTTGTTTGTTGACATCAATGCATCCGATAGGCGAAGAATGTCCGGGGCTCGGCAATTTCTCGACCCAAGCTTCGTCAAGTGTGAGCGACACTCGGTTTCACGGTTGATCACTTCCGCAACTACGCACTTGCAACCGTTGCGAGAGCGGCTTGGCTTGGCTTGGCTTGGCTTGACTTGGCCTAACCGCTTGGCGGCAAAAGAAAACTGGCTTGGTGGCTTGCTAAATTGGACGCAATTCGAGACTGGCACATCCAAAAATTCTAGGCACGTTGATTACGGGAGGAAAACAAAAGTAAAAATATTGATACCCGTTTGGGGGGTGCGTTTATTATGTGAGTGCATTTATCATGTGAGTAAATACGGTATACTTTTATGCATTTACAGCACAAGGCCTCTTTTTATCTGGTCCTTTTGCTTGTAGCCTAACTTTATTTACAAGCTGCCATGATTCTTTAGCAGAACAGTCTGTAAACAGCTTGATAAAATAAAATAATTCTGCAGTGCCCCTATGATGCAAACTGCAACAGCATTTAAACGGAAAAGATCAATGTATCATCACGACGGCCTGCGAAAGCAGCAGAGTGCTTAATCCATCCATGAAAAGAGACATTTAGTATCTTAACTTTCAATCTCCTTACGAGCTACATTTAGCGTTAAAGGGCAACTCCGCTTAATTTCAAAAATTTTGAGATAGTGGCCGATTTTGCTTTTTGAAGCACTCAAAAACAATCCTCAATCCTTTGTTTCGCGAAAAATAAAATATTTTTCGTGTATTTTTACTTTAGCCATGATCACAAACCGAAACCGAAACGGTGGCAAAGCCGGACAACATTGTATATTCGGCATCACTAAGCATGTACACCCACGTGATATACAAGGGGAAGAAGGAGCTCCCCTCTTATCAGGATCCTCCTTTGTGCCTCCTGGATTAGCACAGGCGTCGCTATTTTCCCCCCAGAAGATTATAGAGGATTAACCTGTCACTCAAAATTCTTACAAAAGCAGCTTCCCTCTCCGTGGAGAGCACAGCCATAGCCTCCTCTATACGGAGAAAGCCTGGCGCGTCGCGTGAAAAGACGGCCGCCGTAAATGGGAAAGGAGGGGTGGAGAAACGGGAGCGGAGAGAACCTTTGCTGCTAGCGCCACAAAAGAGCGAGCGGCCAAACGCAGAAACAATATTTTCTTTTTCTCTCTCTTTTCTTGTCGCTAACCGTGGAGAGGAGAAACTCAACGTCCACCCTTTCCCGTTTCTCCCTGCGCCCTTTCGAATCGCCGAGCCCGTTTCTCCCGGAGTACGAAAACGACGGTGACGAAAACAAAAACAAGTGTGGTTCGGGGAGCGGCCGCTCATGACCCAAGCGCTCGCTGTCTAGGTCTGCCTTTTCTGCTCCGCGCTACCATATTGGTCACCGTTCGGCGCGCTCCTCCTCTCCTTTTTCCTGCGGCCGCGCGCCCTATTGCTCCGTCGTCGATGTGCCAGGCTTTCTCCGTATAGAGGAGGCTATGGCACAGCGCTGGCGCCACCCGTGCTCTCCCCGGGAAAGAAAACAAAATCGAAAAAAAAAAGAAGCTGTACATGCTTGATGACGTCACAGAAGTGCCGGGAGAAGGAATTTGGAGGAAGCGGAAATGCAGCCGGGCAGTGTTGTCTGGCCCACACGTCTCATCCAAAACCAGCGGATTCGTGCTTGCCAAACTTTGGCAGCGATTTTAATGAACTTCTACGCGGAATTCCGTCGTAATATTTGCCAGGGGGGTTTTGTAGATGATAGCAAAGAGAACTCTATAGTTTTGCACTACTGGAAAAGAAGCGGAGTTGCCCTTTAACAAATCTCGTTCTGAGCCGAACAGGAAAGGCTCGTAAGCAACACTGATGCCGGTCTATCTTTACGCAGGCTCGCTTCAAGGATGCGTCCAGCAGATTGCCGTCAACGGAGAACTGCAGTCGGTCAACGCCAGCCAAGGCTACTTTCGGCTAGTGGCTCGTGGGGCCGTCGGCCGAAGCTGCAGCCAAGAAGCCCTACGCCTAGACGTAGCCGCCGACCCGCTCGGCGTAGGAATCATCCTGGTCATTGCCTTCTTCGTCGTCCTCATCCTCGTCATCCTCGTCAGCCTCCTCGTGTTCCGCCGCTGCAAGCTCAAGCGCCACAAGGCGCCCACGCCGATCAAACCCAACGGAAACGCCCTCATCAACCAAATCACTGAAGCCACGCGCGGCTCGGTTCACACAGAGCCTGGCTATGCAGACGGCGCCACGCCCTCTGCTCCCGAAGAGCACCTGCGGAACCCGCCGTCTGCCCAGGACCTCGTCCCGCCGAAACGGGCAAAAGAACGCGACATCGGGAGTGACAACCACCTACCGCGAACCCCGCAGCGCCCAGACATCATTGAACGAGAAGTGATGCACGCGTCGTCGCCGCTCGCGGCGTCGCGCTGCGCCGAGCAGTCTGTTTACGGTGCGGCCGCGGAGCCGGAACACTACGACCTCGAGAACGCGAGCAGCATCGCGCCGTCGGACATTGACATTGTGTACCACTACCGCGTGTTCCGCGACGGGAGCCAACTGCGGAAGCTGCACCACAACAAGGGGCTCCACAAGCATCCGGGTCCGCACCGCCACAGTCCGGCAAGTCCGACGGCCCGACAGAGCCCGCGACAGCAGCTCCTCCTGCGCCCCGCCGCGCGTGACAGCCCGTCGGCATTGAAGATGCACCACAGCACGCCGCTGGCGAGGCTGAGCCCGTCGAGCGAGCTCTCGCGCCAGACGCCGCGGATCCTCACGCTGCAGGACATCAGCGGCAAGCCGCTGCAGACAGCACTCCTCGCTAGCGCACACCCGGGCAACGGGGCCAAGCCGTTCAAGGACGCTCTGACCAACTCTGAGCGCAGCCTCAACAGCCCCGTGAGCCAGCTCAGCCGCAGCACGGGGAGCCTTCCCTCCGCCAAGCTGAAGCAGGCGTGCGCGGCGCCGGCAGCGGAGAGCCGCCACGCGCAGCCGCTCGCGGGGCTCGGACTCACGGCGGAGGAGATCGAGTGCCTCAACGCACGGCCCCGGAACTGCAGTCTTGTGAGTACACTGGACGCGGTTTCGTCTTCGGGGAGCGAGGGCACGAAGGGAAAGCTGTCGCAGCTGTTGGACGACCGGCCGGCCGCACTGCTGGATGCGGCGACGGGTCACGACTCGTCGAGTGATGAAAGCGGCAACGACTCCTTCACCTGCTCCGAGTTCGAGTACGACAACGGCTACGAGAAGGCACACCGCGACTTCGCACCGGGCAATATGATCTTCTCAAAGCTGGCCGAGGAGGACAACGAGAACGACGAAGACTCGTCTAAGACGTACGACGGGTTTGACTCGTTCCGCGGCTCGTTGAGCACGCTGGTGGCCTCGGACGACGACCTGTCGCACCTCTCCTACAAACCGCCGAGCGGGGCGGTGTTGGGCTGGGACTGTCTGCTCAACTGGGGGCCCAACTTTGAGAACTTGGTGGGTGTGTTCAAAGACATTGCGGACTTGCCGGACACGGTGAGCCCGCTCACGCCGGGGCACCCCAAGCCCAGCGAGGAATACGTGTGACGGAAGGGTGCCCGAACTTGCTTTTGGGTGGGTCGTTCATTGTGTGGACAGTGACTTTGCTTAGAAATGGCAGCGAGCCAGTAACGATGGCCTTTTCCTCAACGATACGTTTCACAGTTTGCTTGACAGGAGGCACAACGCGTTACATGCCAGACCCATTACGTGCCCTGATGTGCGTCGCGCTTTTGAACAGGTAGTTCACTGTGTGGACCGCCGTACTCAAAAATGGCAGTGCCATTGAGCCAATAATGTTGGCTTTCGTTACGATGATACATTCCGCAATGCGTTTGATAGAGGGCAGCGGCCTGTCACGTGTGCCTCTTTTGAATGGATAGCGTGGTACGTAGATGAGGAATCTGTTTAAAATAGCAGTGCCATGAAACCATAATATGAGGACACTATCGAGCTATGCATTCCATGACGAACTGGTGTAGTTGTTAGAGTTGCTGTACAATGACCTCACGTACGACGCCACAACCTCTGTGTGTGCAAGTTTTAGCGTGAATAGTTAGCCTAGATTTTATTCAGCTATGACGGACAAGTGTTTGGTCCCTGTAACGGGCTTTCAAAATTTAATGCCGAGGGTATGAGGCCGCAGAGTGTGTCAGTTACAGGGCGTTTGCCTGAACAGATGTAGGAATAATTTAGAGCGTTGGATAGACAGGAATTTGCTCTGGAATGCAATCCGGTTTCTTTTAACGTCGGTAAGAGGGAGAAAAGAAGCACGCAGCCCAGCAGAAGGTCAACAGGCACACGGTACGCTACCAGTGTTGCCAACCTAGTCACACTGAACAAACTGCTGGGAGAACTCGTCCATAGAGCCGCTGAAATACGTAGACCGCTCTCCGCCAAAACCAGACGCTTGGGCGTCGGGTGTCCCGGCCACGTCGATCCGTTTCATTTTACGTCGAGGAGCCCGAGAAGCCCCGCCCCCTGCCGTCACTTCCTAATTTATTGGGCGTCCCCTTTTGGACACTGATGACTGCATGCATTTGTTTCCCTTTTTTTTTTTCCTGTCAACTAACGACACATACCTCATGCCAGGTTCAATTGTGTGTGTGTGTGTTTGTTTTCGGTGGTCTCGTCCGGTCGTTGTGTCGTCAACGCGAGAATACTCTCTGCGCCATACATTCCCATGTGTTTTTCCACTGACTGCCCCTATTTATGCCCATTCTCTTGTGTTTTATCTTCCTTTTCTTCTGGGAGGATCGTTGGTTGCAGGTTCGCATGCTCTGGATGCCAGTCAGCATGTAGCAGGGGCAATGCCAGTTATCATTCTTTTTAAATCCAGAATTTAAAAAAAAAAAAAAAAAAAGAAATAGAAAGTTGCATCTAGGGTTTTTTCTTTTTTTGCTCTGGGGCCAAGTTGTTGCCATGTTAGCCACTAGAAGAAAGGCGAAGTGGGTTGATTAGTTAACTTCCGAACTAAAAATCTTTAGCTTACTTTTTTACTATTACTGAGGCTTTTCAAACTTCCGGGGCGGAAGGATCGACATCACTGGTGTTCTTTGTCTTCTTAGTTTTGGTGTGATTTTTTGTACAAGGCTGACATATCTCGCCTTGTAGCTCCCACTAGAAGTTTTTCAATCAAAATTTTACAGCCCGACTAGACTATTGAGGTCGGGCGTCCATTCTCTAAATGCATGATGCCCCCAGAAATAAAAATTAAGAGGTAATTGATTTAGTCATTTAGCTCACTAATTGACCCATTTGGTAATTTTTACAGTAGCCACTTGGCCCCAGGGGTAAAAAAAAAAACTATTACAAGTTTCCTTTTTTTTTCTTTCCTTAATTCTGGATTGACTAATTGCGAGTTTGTTTCGCACGCGCTGCGCACTGTGCGAGTTCTGTCCTAGAATGCATCACACTCGCGGAGTGCCGCACGGAGAACCGGTCCCGAACGAACTTGCCAAGTGCAAAGTGATGCTGTCGCCACCTATGTTGTAGCGAGAATACCGACCTCAAACCGAAATAACGCCCTGTTGTTCGACATGACAGGCGGGAATGCAAAAAAGTATGGTCGCTGCAATGTTTATATTTGCAATGACTTGAAGACCTCTATTGCCGTGGAGATATTTACAGATGACCTGTGTTTCCGCCACAAGCTGTCAACCAAACTGTAAGAAATAACAAAAAGTGAGCAATCTTTCAATTCTTATCACTGTTGACACGGGAGAAAACACCGTTGATACTATTCGTGCACAGGCTTGATCAGTTTTAAGCGTGAACTACTGAAAGGATACAGTTTCAAATTAGTCCGTTGAAATCTCCAGCAATACGTCTTGCGACACCGTCGATTTCGATCCTTGGTCGCATATATATAGGTATCTGAATCAGCCTTTATCTCTAATGAGAGCGGTGAGATTGAGAACTTTTTCGAACAAAAAGAAAGGAGGGTGCAAACTAACTGTTGTAAGTAAATCTTAAACATGGTGGTTTTACCCAAGCCCCGGTTAAAGTCGCCATGTTTAGCTCTCTCGACTGCTAATTGTTCGCATCACAGGTTCTGCTGGGTGAGCTTTCTCAATGAATGTTGTCCACTCGTGAGTCCACAATCGGCCATATTTTGGCGACAACTTAAGAGAGATCTCGTAAGAGAGATCTTGCGACTGCTGATCTGTTTGTCCCGAGACTTTTTGCTCATCCATAGGTTTCAGCAACTGAACGGCGACAAAACGACTAAAAACTTGCAAAAGTATGGGTTGTCGATTGCTCCCTTCATGAATTAGCAGAAAATCGCAGTTAAGCTCGCATTTGATCCAGTCTTTCATGGGACGTGCTTTCTAGCAGAAAATCCACTTTCTTTGGGGGGTTCCACTTTGTGCGAATGACAGCTCGTAGCGGAGCAGTAGCAGACGAATCCCCGTCTGCTCTCTCTTCGCCTGCCTCGCCTGAGCAATGCAAGATGAGATTGCATTCTGGCACACACTCGATTCTCTCCGTGCAGCGAGTGCACACATACATGGAGTGCTGGCGCTGGAACGAACTCGGAGAGCGCAGTCACTTGTGGAGTGCCGGTGGAACAAACTTGCTCCACGCTGCGAGTGGGCATGCATGGGTACGAGTGCAGTGAAATGAACTCGCCATAAGAAAGAACTCCCTATATGAACTGCTGCAAAATGGATGTTGAATCCTGAAGAGCGCCTACAAAGTGTGCTTTTATTTGTAGGGTAGAGTGGGTGCCCTGCATTACTGAACTCGGCATATTTGAATATATGTTATGTAAAGATCAACTAAGAACAAAATGGGTGAAAAAGCATTTCAATTTAATCCACCACCTGCTCATCGGCCATATTTCATAGCGAAAGTTTTAAACAATGGTATCTTGTGGAAGAGACAGTCTGGTTTATCGTCGGGCTATAAAGGGGGCAAAGCCAATGTTATATGCGTTCCAGGTTTACTGTATTGGGGCAAAGTTGACTGGCTTGTTCCCACTCATTGGTTACCTCAGCACAGAGCTGCTCAGGCCGAATCTCTAGTCTTGCAATCCAATTCCCCCTTTTTTTCCCTGTGCTGAGAGGCTGTAAAAGCCTTCGAGTAACTTTAGTACCACCGTCTACTTTTCATCGCCCAAAACCGGCGATGAAAGTGCCTGTACATTGTTTCTTCCTATTCTCGTTTTGCTTCATCATGTGCCATGTTTTCTCTTTCTTCTCTTTTTTTTTTTTGACTACGTTGACGAAAATGGACAATAAAATTTGTTTTGTCAACATTGCTTGGCATCCCGAGAACATTTCTTTCTTCTCAAGCATGAAACAATTTAAGACACAGGGAAATGTGCTGCAGCCAAAACTTCCTCTAGAAAGCCTGCAGCACCGCATCTAGCGATGATGTAATGGTATTTGCACAGACAAAAGAAAAATTGGTGATTATGGTTCAAGTGGAGCTTGTGGATGAGGGTGAGGTGTTGATATTGATATATTTATTGCACTTGGTGGGTGGGGATGTACAGGTGTGCTGGTGTTAAAGGGAAAGCTGGCGCCCATGCAATGAATGTGCCCTCATCACCGACATCTTTTTAACGTATTTACAACTTTGGAAGATGGGAAAACAATTAAGGGGTGACACCCAGAGGCAGATTTAGAGGGGGGGTCCGGATGTCCTGACCCCCCTCTTGATTTCTGCATCTGTAAAATTTAGGGCGTGAAATGAGGGAGAGGGGGAGGGGTTCCTAAACAAATGGTACGCTGACCAACACCTGACCCCCCCCCCCCCCAGGAAATTCCTGCATCTGCCCCTGGAGAACACCACCTTCAAGTGTCGACTTTTAAACCAGTCGCTCAATATTGATGAAATCTGGAGGGTCTATTCATCTCGTTGCCTAATTGCACTGTATGATGTTTCATCTCTGTAGGACAATTTTCCAATAAGCTACAGAAAGTGGTATACAGCTAATCAGTGATTTTCCTACACACCCCCTTATTTTGCAACGACACCTATTCTCAATTTTTTTGAGGGGGGGGGGGGGGGCCCCCTCAAAAAAAAGTTTGTTGTCGACCGACTGGCGGAAGCCAGTCGGTCTTTTGTTCGTTGTCGACCGACTGTTGTCGGTCGACAACGAACAGTGGGAGCTGTCGGAGCAAAGTGGCTGAAGTAGGGATAGGTCGTCGGCATCCATGGTAGGTGTGGAATGGAGTTTTCTTTTTGCAATGTTGTTTATGTAGACTAAAACAGTGCTGCACCCAGCACACTTCCCTGAGGCACTCCAGAAAGCACTGTGCAGGATAAGGATTTTACCTCTCAAAAATACAACCTGATGGATCCTTACCTCTCGATGAAGCACTGCAGCCAATGGAGTAAGCTTCCCTGATGCCATACTTGTGTGGTTTCTTCAGAAGGAGCTGGTGATCGATCTTGTTGAAAGGTTCAGGTGGCAGGAGGCAACCTTCACTCCAGCACGTTAGCTCTGCTAAAGTCAACGTTACTAAAACACTCAGTTGGGAAACTCGCTGTCGAAACCTGGGCCGCTGGCGACTACCGAGACCGAGCTAAATACGACAACAGCGCCACTCTGTATCGTTTGTCTGTACTGTGGTAATCTTGAGCTTTTAGAAAGCATGCTTTTGCGTAAAAACAAACAGAAAAAACTCTTTTTGTATGAAATTTATTGGAGTTTACTACAAAATGAAGGGCGCGTGATGTTTTTTTTAAATCTTTAGTTTGCCAGGTTTTGCGGCACAATTAATATTGTTTTTATACGACCGTGCCTCAGCGGTGCTTTCAGGTAGCGCGTCCCGACCTAGGTGCATTTTAACTTCGGTAGTAAGATGCGGCGCATCCGCTGGGGACCGTGGGGAGAGGGAGGTGGCACCCCTGTAACCTATCTTCCGCTGAATCTGTTTCGGCGCCAAAATGGCCGATTAAAGCCAAAATAGAAGTCACGTGCAGTTCCTCGAGTGGCGGCGGCGGCGTAGTGTTCGTCATAAGCTCGGTTCTCGACGACAGATCGGTGCCACTTTTTCAGAGTAGTCTTTATGGCAGTGGGAGGAGCTTCCTACACTTAAACGTCTATGTAAAACATCCGAGACAGGTATAAAATGGTATAAAATGATATATATTTCGGGGGAACATTTTGTACTTTACCCGACACCGGAAAGAAAGCACTGCCAAAGTAGGGATTGGGGCAGCCGGGGGTTAGGGCACGAGCGGAGCGGCTCGAGTTTGGCCATTCGTTGGGAAGTATAGGAGACAAATGAGGAGGCGCCATTGGCCGAAAGCGAGCTGGGCGTGTTCCAGGGCGTCTTCAGAAATTTGAATGTGACGAACCAGAAGCCGGAAATAATACCCTGGCGGTGGTCGCGAGAAACAAACCTGATAACTGCATTGGAGTAACCCTCGATGGCTGAACATATGGTACACGTGATGTTTCAATCACGCCCTCGAAATGATGGTGGAAGGGTGTGACTAGCGGAACGATCGATATAATCCGTACGCCAAGCGCCGAAAGCCGGGAATCTGCCGTCTGAGCGGTCACACTCTGTCCGCGCAAAACAGAGCTGAGCGGCGCATTCGTTTCTTACATCTTTCTGCGTGATCATGATCAAAACAACACGTGTACCCTATTTTCAACCATGAAGAATTACTACATCTCACTCTTACGCGCTTATTAGAGCCATATACGAACATAGACCTTCATCAGAACTGTTCCTCGCTAGCACCGCTAGGCATAGAGATCATATACTAAATCTAGAGGAAAAGGTCCGCCATTTTCCCATACATTCTGGCTGCCGCAAGCGGCGGACCATGCAGGCAGACACTCTGGGTCCCAAACACGGTTACATCATCAGAGCAGTTTCGTGAACTTCAACAATCCACGAACTTACCGGTGGAAAGATACTCGCGTTCTTTTCGAAGGTTTCTTTTTGCATAGCGCGCAGATGTACGGCCCCGCGTTAACGCTAAACTAAACCATATACCCGGCTTCGCTGGTGGGGCGCGGCTGGGCGCGGTTGAGGAATACGAAACTGCGCAACCACCAGATTTCCGAGATTTCGACAGAAGGGAAGTTAATGCAGCGTAATGACTTTATTGCTTTTTATAAGCGTTAGAATAGCTCAGAATTTAGTTTACAACGTTAAATTATCACTGTTTATATTGCTGAGAGTTTTCACTCTCCGTGTTTACCATGGCAACGTTGCTTTCTTTCTCTCGTGTTCTGTCGCTCTCTTTTGCGATCGTTCACTCGGGACCCAGGATGTCGGCGCACGGGATTTGCCACTCCTCCTCACCCACCTTTACCCCCCCTGCCGCTAGGGGATTCTTTTCGGCTTCTGGTTGGTCAAGAGAGCATGCCAAGACCTCTTTCCGAGTCTGGCGCACGCCCTGGCTCTGCCCGCGCCTCCCATTGACCAAACTCTCCACATATACGGCTCTGGCTCGTGAAGTCGACATCTAGTCGATCTAGCTGTGTTTCGAGATTTGTGTTTGTCCTTTGTTTCCCTTTTCCAGGGATTATTTTTGTCATCTCAAGTGATCGCGCATCTCAGGCTTGGTAGGCTTTGTTTCACGCGTTTCACGCAGACTTTCCGGACTTTGCGGTTCAGGAAAAAACGATTAGGTTTACGACTGTAATCAGGTGGCGCTTGCTGCCGCCTAATACAAAGGGCTCTGTCAGCCTCTACTCACTACTACTACAATTTAACGTCCCGGCTCCGCCCATTTTTGTGACGTCGCTTTGCTTATAAATGCAGCTGCCACCGAAATTTTTACTTGTCCTCTTCTGGTTGTGGTGCCGTGATGTCGTGGCTCGCGGGGCCCTCTTCTCCGTCGCGTCGGTCGGAAAAAAGGTACGAAGTTTAGGCATTTGGAATCCGAGTGCATCCGAAGCATTCGTCGGTTCGGATACTGATATGTATCGGACCTGGTTAGGTCTGCATATGGAGCGTTAATATACGAAGTTATTTTTAGGCATCTTATTATTTTTAACGTCGCATATTTCGTCGCCGTTGCGGACTCTAGCTGGGCCCACGTGCAGACGAATATTTCCTCGAAAATTAAAAGCGTGGAGTGTGCTCTCGATATTGGTGCTCGCTCTTTGAATGACGGTCGCACGTTGTAGGGCCCGTATTTTTTTTAATAGCAGCACTTATGATGATACGATGACGAGACTGAGCGATTCGGCGGTTCGTTTCCAATGCCACGTTCTGTGGCGCGGATTCGGCCGCTGTTTTGCTCCTTGATGACAAATGAGGCATTTGTCTGAGGTGCTTGCTGTATAATGCACTTGGGAATTTCTTTTTTGCCGCAGTCCGACAAATTTGACCACAAAGTGGATTCCTTTGTCTTTCAGATGCGTGGCTTCGCAGGCGTGGCGCCAAATGCAGCCATACTTCCTCGGCTCGTACTGTATGGGGATCAAGCAATGAACCGTAGGATTTGCAAGGTTCGTGTTTTCTATAATAGTTCCTAATAGTTTCCGCTCGCCTGATGACTTCATCACCACAAAGTTATCCAGATCTTAATGGCTGTGCAGAAAATCTATGGTTCTGACATTCACATCAGCATTCTTTCAGGCATGTGGGGTGTGCAAGATATATCTAATTAGTCATTTTTCTCCCTTCTAGGGAGTCTCCTGAAAAGTGCTCCACTTCATCTCAAATTCTGTAGGGTCCTTTTGGTTGTTGGTGAGTGAATTTTCCATTTTATTGTAATTTTATTAGTGTGATGAGTTTTTTTCAGACTAGAGTCTCTGAATGAATGTGAGGTTACCTTGAAAAACTGAACGAACCTAGCAGTCCCGAAGAGGCATGATAAATACCCTGGCATTGAAGTTTTTTTGTTTGTTTTGTTTTCAGGGACGCAGATGCATCTCTCCTCACCCTTGCCTGTAAATGTCGGTAAGAATGTTTGATGTCTTGAAATGCTCAACTGCTCTGATGAGATCTTTATAACTTGGTCTGTGTTTCTGACTAGTGATGCTAAATTTCCTCTGAACTAAGAATGCTCCACATACCACTTCCGTTTTTAGAAATTTGCTTTAAGTGGTCTTTTATTTGCAGGCACTTCTCTGTGATCTCATGGCATCGACATCTTAAATGTTTCAAGGTAGAGTATCTTCATAACCTATCCACTATGAATCTATAGTTCTGTGATGATTGGTCCGTGTTTCTGACAGTTGATGTCACCTTACCTTTATCTGACTTAATTTTTTTTCTAGTGTTCTACAGTTTCGTTGCCTGCACTTGCTTCTCATGATTGCTTGGTATTTTCAGCTTC